TACGTGTAAAATATTACACATTTACATTTGCGTACTTAGATCATTGAGTGTTCATTTCTCTTTATCGACGATTAATATTGTTAAACTGAAATGAATTCTTCCCATGTCATAGTGTCAACGATAAGATCACAAAGTTACAAAGTATAGCCGAATATAACCGAAACGTCCGCAATTTGTGACTAAAGAGACGCAATAAAAGTTGTCAAAAGTTATGCAATAAAATGGCAATTTAACCGTTCTGAGTTCTTACCTGAGCATTAATTCGATTAAAAGGCGGGCCAATCAAATCAACGGATATCATCTGATAACGAGGCTAAAAAATATGCTTACATTAAGTCCAGGTGCGCACTACGTCATGCGAGGTAGTTACGTAATCCTCCAGGTGAATCATGTAGATACATGTATGCATGGTTAAATGTAGGCAGGTTTGGGTGTAAATTTTAGCGTTTAAAGTAAAAATAACGCGAACGATTATAGAACTAGTTGTTGCAATATTTTCTATATGATCCTTATTCGCGTCCAGGTGTTTTCTGGACATGTACAAGTAGAACTGATAACAAGAACAAAATCATGGAAAATATGTTCAGTAACGAAAAATGAAACACATCAATAAAACACATAAACGCATAAACTTTTCGTTCCAGTTCTTCCACCAAACCCTTTCTAGAAGTGTAATAATTCATACCTGAGGTGTCCAGAAGAATCTTTCCATCACAGGCGTACATGTACGTGCACCCTTCTTTACAAAGTTTACTCCATCACGTTTTAGTCAAAATTGGATGCTGTGATGCATCCACAGGCGCCATAATGCCAATTCATCACACGTGTCAATGAGGGCCTCTAGCAGTTCATGGAATTATTGCTGGTACATGTACTTGGGATTCTTTTACATGCAATAATTTCACGGACTGCTAGAAGTCCCTTTTGATACATGGCGCAGAGGGTCATTAGCCTATGTATCCTTGATGCTGATTGGTTATCATCACGGCAACATTTTTGAGTCATTGAGCCTGATTGGCTAATACAATTCCTCGTTGGTGATTGGTTAGAAACAACTATGACGTTTCACTTTACGACCAAATATGGGTAACCGACTCGAAACCATAAAGCCGCTTTACGTAAACAACTGAAGTTACGAAGAATTTTCGGACGAACGGGACTATTGTGGGCAACTATGTTCCCCCAGATAAGCTACGGAGTTGTAAGAAATGCCTTTACAGAGAAAAGGAGCCGATTTATGAGGTTAGGAGAGGTGAAAATGCTCGGCAACGGCGTAATATTACTACGAACAGGGGAGGGGGCATTATGTGGGGATGGCTTTCAGCACCAAGGGCAGGGATAGCTTCAGTTTGAACCTGGTCTTTTCTTCATGACAACAAACTGAATATTATCACATTGACGAAGAATGTACGAAGGAAATCAAGTTGTGAATTTTTCGGTGTCATTCTCAATATCATATCAATGGAAACAGAGCCTCTGCCAGGCGTATAACTATGGCAATCCCCAAGCTGTTACGATTTTACCTTCCACCATGCATCTGCTTGATTTCCATTCATATGGTAATGAGATCGACACGGAAAATTCACTTCTGCAAAGAAGTTGTTGAGTTATCCTCTTTTGAATAATTCGAAAGATAGCCCTGCAGTTTTAGAGCAAGCTGGTAGGGGGCCCAAACTCAAGTCACTTCTTCCCCAGCACAAGAGCTACCTACCATCCCAATTTCGTCACCCTAGCATGTCTAGATCATATCAAAAACAGAAGTTCAGCTGCAGTACCATAACAAGTTGCTAGAGGGTCCAAAATCTTATATAATCATTTCCAGGTCTCATCAAGACCTACCAAGTATCAAGACAGCACATTTAAGCCTTACACACACACACACACACACACACACACACACAAACACACACACGAATGCCTCTGAAAACATAACCTTCTTGTCGAAGGTAACCAGCCTGGTATGTTGACCTCATGGCTTATATTGTAACATTTCCGGCCTTCTTGGGGTGCCTTGTTTTTTTTTTTTTTATTTTGCCCTGTCACTTCATATTTTTTCTGAAAAAATCCAAGAAGCAACAAATTAAATTAGTGTGGCCTAGTCTACTACTTGTACAACATATCTCGTAACATGCTTGATTAGAATGGCTTTATTCAGCTGTACAGTATTTCATACAACATGGTTTATAAAACAGGAAAAAACCCTGTCATGTCCAGGACTATTTTATGAAAGGAAGCAAAATAATATTTTACATTGCATTATATTATTACTGCAAAAAATAAATATTATAATCAATGCAGCATAGTTCATACATCTTGCATGATACATATTGTATAATAATTAGCTTCTCAATAGGTATAGGCAACAAGGAGCATATTAAGCATAACATTTTGTATGACTACTCAAGGAGCTATATTGTTTCTCACTCAAAACATTTTGTTTTCAAATTGTTGATAATTTTCCAGCTAGCTTGGCTACAAACTAATTTAATCTCTAAAAATAACATGGACAGTGATTGCACTTACTGACACTACATGTATGTATTTAAAACCTAGCTGCAGCATAATAGCTTCTAATTTTATTTGGCACATGCAACTTATATGATCTTATGGCACAAGGCAGCTTGGACATTTAAATCTTGATACAATTGAGACTGGAGATTTGAAAATCACTTCAAATACAATGTATACTTAAAATCAGACAAGGCCATACTCCATGAAATTGCAATATCCTTGTCACATTACATACAATATTGAAATTACATTCTGAGTCAGCTATATGCAGATTATAACTCAATTATAAGGACAATGTATTATATAGCTACAAAATCTATAAGTGAGTTATCGATTGGGGACGAGAATCAGAATCAGAAAAGATTATTCCCATACATGTATGTGACAATAATGATGTCAGTATCATATTTTGTGCAACTTTTGTCTTCTGTAACCAACTAAAAACAACAACAATATCTTCAGGGTACACAATTGTTTACATGACTAACAAAAATAGACAAAGTGATTAAATCATATATCTGTAACCTATGATTTGGGAAAATGTGGATTATACTTTCATACTCAAATTGGTTATAAATTGGCAACAACACTTCTAGCAGGTGACATGCTGATGCATAGATGTCTTTTGACATAACGTTGGCACAACTACTTGCAACATGTCCATCTAGTCCCACATGACGTAAGAAAAATATGATCCCAGTTACTTGAGGACAGTTTATCTCATTGAATAAACTGTTTAGGCTTTATATCAGGCCACACCAATTTAACGTCTTGGTTCTCAGATTCACCTCTTCATTTTTTCTGATTTGAAAAAAAAAATTCTGGTTCTGAATCAACTCAAATATGGCATATATTTTGCCCCCAACAGTTGAGGAAAGTCCTAATTTCTTCCTAGTTGGTACAGTTTTCCATCTATCAATGCAGCCTTTTGTGTACACTTGATGGCTCCTATGGTAGCATTTGGTGCTATGATAGGATAGATCTGTTTTTATTTTTTCTGCCCTGTCGCTTCATATTTTTTTCTGAAAAAATCAGAGAACCGACAAATTAAATTGGTGTGGCCTCCTCCAAAAGTGAATATACAAGTCATGTACCATGATTACACTACATGTAGATACAGCGGTAGCAAGGGCATACTAACCCATGCCCTTAGTGTCAGATTTCTTGTTACTATAATGTAAATAAGACTCAATGTACATTACTCCAGTCCAATTTAAGTTAAGATAAGTCCTCTTACTGTAGATCTGTATCAAGAGAGTGACTTTCAGCATTTTAAACTGCAGTGCTAATGCAACATTATAAATTTTATAAAATTTAATGTCTTCTAAGACCAGCCATGTACATGATGCTCTGTGCAAAATTTATAGACAATAACACATCAACTACACATTTAAGAAATTTGACGTACATTTGTAAGTTAATGTTAACACTAAATACAACGTAGTCAACAGGATTTGCATAAAAACATGATGATGTAGCACACTACATTCACTTTGTTATTGACAGATAACCAAATTTGAAAACATAAATTTTCTACACGTACTTTGTAGAACATACAATGTACATTCCTCCTCATAACGCAAAATCTAAAATCTCTCATACAGTTATAATTGTTAAAAAGAGAACAATAATAATTATAGCAAAATGAGTTGAGGCTAAATTAAACAAAATGCTACTTACATACATTGCATTGTGTAGATAACTGCCAAGGCCCATCTAGTACATAGTCGTTAATATCAAAATCTTGATTGTAACTTGCAAAATTGAAAGTAGTTTTGAATTCGCAATAAGTTGTGCCCATAGATAAACTGTACATGACCCAATACTACTCTCAGTGTCTTAAGCCCGTCACACATGGCTGAATATGGCCTCCCAAAGACCCAAACACTGTTGAACTCCCTCAAACCATGAGGAAGTTGGGAGCAAGCCATTAGGTCAACCTTGGCTACTGTTGGTTTTCTTTTTAATGCCCACGATCATGATAATGATCATTCTCACTGGCATGCTCATTTTCACCTGAGTGAAATGAGGAAAGTGCCTTTCCCAAGGGCACAAGATCGGTGACAAGGTTGGTTCCGAGCCGAACATGTTTACCGCTACACCACACGACCCCACACACCTGTTCAACTGTGCCAAACTGTTTGAAACATTCTGGTTTTCATGAGTAGATGAACTGTGTTTGGGGTGTGGTTGGCAGTCAAATCTGACTCAAATTTGATCAACACAAATTTTGATTCATACACATGTATAGAAAGGCACTTGCAGGCCTAGGCGTGGCCTAAATCCTGTGTTTGGGGAGAGCCACACCCCACGCACGTTAAAGAACCCACTGCACTTATTGAAAAGACTGTGAGTGGTTCAAACCTTACAGTCTGGTCTCATGCAACTTGTACATGTACATACACGTACAAAACTGGTGTGTTACGCCTAAAGGCGGTTTACCGGTTATGCGAAACAAACAAACCAACAAATTCTGGTCAGACTGCTCCCAAACTTCAGCCAACGTTGGTTGGTTGGTGGTCGGGAGAGGGTTCTGAATGTGTGACAGGGTCTTTACATGTTATGTCGAATCATCTCCGATCACAAGAGAGTGATCTCCTGTTCCAGATGGTCCCCAGAAGTGCTGGAGAAATGTTGGTTTGATTCGTCCACCGCTGAAGTTGTAACAGTCGTGGTTGTCTTGTTGAAGAGTGGAGGGACCTCTCTAACAGTTTCACTAGTCCAGACCTAACAGGACGACAAAAGTCATCAAGTTCCATCCTTTAAAGTTGCAATGATTAATTAATTATTTACAATGTAGTTAAAAATATATCAAGGTGAACAAGGCAGAGATGTCAAGATTTCACCCCACCAATGCTTTGTGGCCCTTCCAGTCCCATAAAGAAAAGTACAAAGTGCATGTAGCAACACAGAAGATGTAGAGCAATCACACATACACAAACAAAGAGACATGCACACTCAGACAAGACAATTCCTGGGTACATTGCCACCATGGAATAACAGCTATCTAGTATTGTGTAAAAAAAAACAACTATGGTCCTTTCTATTATCTCCATTTGTTTACCCTTAATTAATAAAATAAAAGGTCATCTCCGTATAGTCACTTCAATTTTGGATTTGTCAGCCCTTAACTAAAAAGGACTAAAACCAGCCCACAGTTACAATGCTTTGGTTTCTTGGGCTGAAGTTGGTACTTGCACATGACGTCTTGTATACCTGAGTGTCCAGCTTACCTGATTCTGCTGTGTCCACTTCAACACAATACACTGTTCCCCCAGGCTTCCTGAACAACTGAGGATCACTGTGTCTTCCTGGTCACCACTGTTCACGAGACAGAACAAGTAAATTAATAAATGTTACAGACACAGTTTGTTTTCCTCTAAGGACACTTAATCATAATCATCATCATAAGTCCTTTACAGCACATCGACATACTGAGCCTGCAGGATACCTGGATTTTTCACGATTTTTGTTGGTCGAGTTTGCTAAACGCTGCATCAGAATTTTGTCCATTGCATACAATAGTCATGTAGGATATATATTAGCTTTCCCAACACAACAAAGAACATTTGAAAATAAGAGATGGACTATCATCATTAAAAGTGCAAATACGACCTTAGGCGAGATGTTCTGACGAAGTGCTATGCACTATTACTATGGGTTTTGTGCAGGCGCAGTACGTTCTGCTGACGTGATAAAAAAAAGTTTAGTTTTTGGAATTTCATAAAGCTCCTGCGGACATGTACAAAATATAGGTATGGGATGTGTTTACAAAGGCTCTATTTCTAAAAAGACTTTATATGTATACAACATGGAGAATCATATTATTTAACACAATCTGCTTTACACCTTCAAAGATAGTTACGTTTGAGATAATACCGTCAAACCTACCTTACTACTACCAGTGCTCGGATAGGTCGGTCTGACACTCTCGTCTTGCTTTTCAATCTCAAGTCATACTGGAAGCTGAGATCCTCCCTGCTGGAGAACACAGAACTTTCCCTGGAGGCCTCCACGCTCAGCCGGTCTTTACTCTCCCCTGTGTAGTAATCCACCACCGCCTGGTCTCCGAGCGGAACCGGCGCCGGCGGCTCGTTGTCCGGTTCGTCGATGATGCACCACGACCCCCGGCTAGAGTTCATGCTCTTGTTCCGCATGTGGTAGGGGATGGCGGACAGTTCCGTAGCTCTCTCTGGTTTCCCGTCGGAACCCACGGGACCGTCATATGAAGAACGTAGCATCGTGTAGCTTACAGGCTGCTTTTGAGCGGAATCCGCAGACGTACTCTGACCTGACCACAAATCCATTAGGGAGGTCCGTCGGACATTGTCCTGGACAGACTCTGTATCGTTCGTTCCCGACTCCAAATGACCAGTGCTCTTCCTTCTTCCGGTAGGGCTCGTCCTGAAACTGTCCTGTTCGTCGACGTGGTTGGTCTGCTCGTGAGTCATGTTGAAGTTCACAGGCCCTTTGTGTTTGAAATCGCCGGCTGGAATGTCATCGCAGAAGTCATCGTCTTCATCGTCCTCGGTTCCAAGGGGAGTCATTTCCAGCGGCACTTGTTCAATCGTGGACATCCTGCGTACAGTGGAGGGGACAACAGGAGCGCTGGGGGCGTCATCTTTACTGCTGGGGCCGTTGGAGACATCCGGTGAGTCGTCCGGCTCAGGGTCAAGCGTGAACTGGAGGAAGCCGTTATCGTTTGTTCCGTACCCACTAGAAGTGGAGTAAGTTCTACTGTTCCTCTGGGAGGAGAGCGAAGACTCCGTTTCTGAGAACGCTTGGCTCAGCCTGTTAGGATTCGGATTCGTTTCCGAGGTTCTTGCTTCCTTTGCAGGACTCAAAGACCCGTTGCACTCAACGGTCAAGTTCGCTTCTTTCAAAAGCTGCGCTAGAATGCTGGATTCTTCGGTAGTCGGTTCCCTATATATTGCACTCGGTTCCTCACAGGCAACGCTTTTGTCGACATCATCAGCTTGCGTGCACTCTGCATCACCATTTCTGCTGACCTCATCAATTTGTGTGTGGTTGACATTCACGTCGGCACCGCCCAATGACCACCCACTGATGGCTTCGCTTCCCAACTCTAGTTCCTCCGAAAAGCTGTTCAACAGTTCTTCGTTTGAGAAGCGTCTTGTGCTAGAGATGCGGCGTCTAGCGAGGCTGGCTTGGCAGACCGTGTCGTCTCCAAGGCGCTGCTTGCCAGACTGGTCCTGGGCAGGCGTGACCTCGGGGTCAACGACATCATAAACGATGACATCACCCGCACCCGTCCCTACCCACAATTCCCTCCGGTGGGAGAGGATTGCTGTGACCCTTGACCTATTGAAATGGCACTCCTCCCACTGAAAAAGGAAGGAATAATACAGATTAATGATAGAACCATTTCTTTGATGACGGAGAGTTAAATCTAAAGTTTAATATAAAACACAGTCATATCTGAATAACTTTTAAATTACTGGTATAGTATTTTTAGTAGCATGTTGAAACCAGCGGAAAAGCATGATGTCTCAGTGCAAGCAATAATGCCCAGTGGTGTAGTGTCCAGTACTACTAGCCGACTGCTGCTGACCCCTGTGGCAGGGACAACAGCAGCAGTATAACTAATCCTGGATAATAACAACGACAACAACATGTGCATCATTCAATTAAGGAGGTTACTCAAGAAGCTAAAGAGGACACTACATACGCTTTGGGTGAAAGACAGACAGAGCTTATTGAAAGAGAGAAAGCAGCAGCTGTTCCCAGCTAGACCTGGAGAGACATAGAGTAAACATATGGTACAGATTTACATGTAGCTGCCAAGCAAGAACAAACAGAAAGACTTCAGGTGAGAAAGGCAAAACCCTCGGACCATGCAGACTCAAACCAATGTACTACACATTTTGTACATGTGAAAACTATACAACATTATTTACTATAAGTCATTTTCCTAGGGCGTTGAATAGTAACTTGTGAGAGATTGTGTCACCTTCAATTTACCTTTAGATAAGAAAACAACCCTAACAAATGATGAGAACACCTTATTGCCACCTAAAAATGTTGGAACATTATCAGCACATTTTTGGACCTACATTTTTGGATGTGGTGTGAGAGTTGGAGCTGACGTCGTACAGGATGGAGCAGGTGAAGGTCTGCGTGTCCCACAGTTCAACAATGGACGATCCCCGGAGGGACACCCACACACCCTGCTCCCCCCTCCTCAGGTGGGAGATGTGGTCGCTTCCATCCAGGGACACTTGGAACACCACCAGGGAGTCCAGGGAACTGTGAGGTACATGTAGAATAAAGATCATTATTAAATTATCAAACCTCTACAATTTATCCAAATTTCCCAAAACTTACAAACAAAAAAACTATTTAACTTCCCAAAACGCACAAATTTTGGAAAAGGTGGGACATTAAGTCTTCCATGGTTTACAAAAGAGAAGTCAAACCCTTCAGACATAGTTTTAGACAGAGCAATAGTTTCAGACAATTAGATTTCATTATGTACATTTTGAAGTTATTTTATACTGTTTCAATGCTTTTTTTGTTTGTAACTTGCAATTAGAACACTCAATTATTTATAAGTGTGATTTGACAAGTTTAGATTGAAAGCTGCATTAATTTTTTTGCACGAAAAATATTTTATATAATACATGTTACTACTATAATTATAATAATAATAAAAACGACTTGTGATTGTGTACTTCCACTTTTCGATACATTTGTGCAACCATCTCACGTTTTTGACACTAACTTATGGTTGCTGCAAAAACAACCCATATGAGGTGCACTCATTTTGTGGTGCCACCACAAATTACCAGAATGTAAACAAACATGGCTGACAGCTATGTTTTCTATGTTTCCAACTTTTGAACACACTCATATAATAAGGTATCATATTCAAATTTGGTACCTCCACTTCCTGAATGGCACTTACTAGCAATGCAGCAGGGCTAACTCAACTTACTTTGCAAAGAAATGACTAGAAAAATTGACATTGTGTATCATTCTAAATGTTACACAATGCAGCTTTAAAAAGTAGTACTGTAACAGTAACTGTAACACATAATTATGACTCTAACACACTTGGAAGAATAAATGACTACAAGATTGTTTGACTGAAGAAAATAACTTACTTGGTGTTGAGGACAGCCACCCTGTTGCCACATGTACACCAGAGCTGGTCGTCCACTAAGGCTACACAGGTGACAGGGTGCCTGCCCACAGGGATGTACACTGGTTCTGTGACTGGACCCTGGGCACCCATGTCCTGTGAAAACACATTGAAAGCAATACAGTACAGATCTCGCATAACGTTCCATCTGCACACATGTGTTCAAAAGTCTTGCAAAAAGAGATTACTGGTAAAAGAATGTGGATTTCTCTATTAAATATATTCAAAAGTCGTGGAAAAAGCAGTGTGCACTTCTGGTTTAAATACACGTTAGACATTAGTGTCCATTTCCTTCGTAAAATGTGTATAGATGTTCGTGTAACTGTGTGTGGTTTTAAATTATAGATAGCTACATGTGATTGTAGCTAATTAGTGCACAAGATTTGCACAGATTTTGCACGAGTTCTAAATGCACGTTACATGCATGTTTTTTGAGTTGCAATTCAAATGCGATTTACACATCCTCATGGTAAAGAAATGCAAAACTGTAATACATGCAGTTTTCATGACATTAAACATTGAATTTTGCTTCTCATCAGGAATAGGTATCATATATTTGTCTCTGTTTGGTTTGTACTGACCTTTATGATGATCATGCAAAAGTTGAGGAAATTGTGACTTTCCTGATGTTAGAAAAGAGCCAGATGATGGTCCAATATTTCACTCTAAACAATACCTCAATAACTGCAACGTGCCCATCCGCAAGTGCAGCGTACACATGGGTGTTTGAAGGGGGAACTGCCAGATCCAGTACTGTGTCATTCAGCTTCATTCTCCACACCTCCAACCTTTAGAAAAAATGGAATGTGATCTAAATCCAGTTTTAGCTCATTGAAGGGCTACTCTTCCACTGGTCATGACAGAGAAAACAGATTGTACAGTATTTACAGGTTCATTGTACCGGGGAAATTCCTATAATAGCTCTTTTCGTAAAGCACCGTGAACTGTGGACTATGGACCAAGGCTTAACGTCCCATCCTAAGGACTGCAACCCTTTCCAGCAGCATGCATGTCGGGTGAGCGACAATAGCTATAGGATTCGAACTCCCAACCTCTTGGTCTAGAGGATGGGTCTGACTCACTAACTTGTAACCACCAGACTACACATGCTACTATATACATTGTATAAAGGATACATTAAGGACAAAGGAACAACGACAAGTTATATGACATTGTACAGTTGACTTGCATGTACATTTTCAAAGAGTGCAAATCACTTCATATTGCAACTCTAATGTAAGCCAGGCCCTGTGTGTGCATACTTACTTTGTACTAGTGCTGTATGCATACAGATGAGAGTTGAGAGTGCCGACCAGTACAGTTCCACCACTGTCCAACAGCAGGCCATGGCAACACATCACACGGGAGTCAACCTGGAACACAATAATTTGACACTCAGACTTAAGTTTTATAAAACTCACCCTTGCCAATCATCTTAACCTATCTATCTCTATCTATGGCAATCACTCGACATCTTTATTTGCAATCAGATACAAATTCATGTATACATGTAGATACAAAGTCATGTATAGATACATAGTCATGCACAGATACAGATTCGTGTACAGATATACAGATACAGATTTTTCCGAGTAGGATGACCGTGTCAGTCCCTACACCTGAGTGAGGGTCACAGTTGACACGGTGGCCTTTGCGTGGATTTGTTTAAGGTGGAAAACAGGTTGTGAATCTGAGACCCACACACTTGGGCATCCGTCTTCCCCAGCGGATTCATATCATCTTAATCATACATTTAATAATACAAGAAATCAGAGATTTAAGACTCTCTTAGCTTCCTGAATTCCCCATGGCTCCCCTTTTTTCCTCCCGTCATTCTGCCTGTCAATCATCTCAACATCCATGTGCTGTCAACCTAATCTGGCCGGACAAAACAATTCACAAACCTACAGCCACCCAAAACAACAATTTTTCTTTCATATTTGCAAGTAATAAATTAGAACTTATTATTAATATTGGATAAAGCTCAAACGGATAAGAGAAAGAGAGAGAGAATGCTCAAATGTGTTCTTACCAAGATGTCGAGATTCTGCATGGTACAAGAGTCTGTATCCACCTCACAGATCTCAGCACTGTTGTGTTCACAGGCACACATCCATGCCTTACCTGTGTGGGAAAATTTACAATTATTGCAGATCAAATCCTTCTTAGACTAACAACCCACTGATACGTACGAGTTTACTAGAGTAGACTACAGCAAGTGCCAATTTTTTTCAATCAGTTTTTAGCCCCAGCTGTTCATTTGAAGCCAGACTGAGTGCTATCACCATGCTACAATGTTCATCACCTGTATAAGATCATCAAGATGAAACGAAGACTCCAAAACAGTTCTGTTGTACATGTAGTGACAGACAAGGCATCTGAAATGGTTACATCTCAGGTTTAAGACTTGTTATAATACACAATGTATCTAAAAATATTGAATGATGAATGATTGTAAAACTCTTAAATTTCAAAGAGTGACCTGTGATTCACAGACTCTATACAAAAGTGTTTAGTATTTGGATATTAATACTTTTGAATATTATATTCAATAACTTCCTGACCCTGTGTAGTGACAGCAGCACACTCCACCATGAGCTGACCCTCTCCCATGGAGCGTTCCAGCTGACGCATCTGTTCCAACTGAAACAAGAGATCAGAGGTTTCAGGAGATTTCTGATGTCCGGGAAGTATTTTGGGTTCTCATTGCCTTCGAGTTCACAAATCTCCGGTTGTGTTTAGGGTTTTCGTGTGAATGTGTTGGAATTGTGTGGGGGATTTTACATTTTGTTTGTGCCTTTATTTATACTCGAGTATATATGGATACAGATTACCCCATTTGGGCATTTAGGCTGCTTTTCATGGGGGTCAAGTGTATTTTTTAAAATGTGATTTGTATGACGCAATTCAATCTGGTATCACACCACATCCTGAATTCCTCCACATACCACCCACATACTCCCAATCAGCATGAATCAACTGTCAAAATCTCCTCCCACCCATCATGAAACCAAATCTATCAGGACAGACTGGAGACAAACCCACCCCAAACAATAACGTCTTCATTCAGTTCCCAGAAGTAAAAATTTGCAAGAAAGAAGAAAGACACAATAATTTTAAAGCCCTAAATTATCTCAAATGAATGCAAAACACAATGGCATGTATAATGTATAACAACAGGTAGCAATCATCAAGCGTAAAGCTGAAAGTCTTAAGTTTGAATTGAAAAAAAGCTCTTAAAACGGGGTGGCTTAAAAAGAACATTTTTGTTTTATCGAGGGTCTAAGAATTTGAAAACAAACAAACAAACAAAGCAGCTGACTGACCAGTTTCTCTCTCTCGTCCTCTGCCTCCCTGTACTTCTCCTGCCGTGAGAAGGAGTCTTTGATGGACTGTTTGTAGTACGCCTGTTTGGTCTGGATGTTGGCTCGACGAGGGAATGGCTGCAGGCCTTCAAACGCAATCTGGTGAGAAAAGCACATCAAAATCATTTATCACTTTGAAAGAAGGCTAGACATCCAGGTATAAAATTTCTCAGTCACCATAGAAAGTAATAGTGGATACTACCTGGAAAATTATGTCTGTTTATGCAGAATTTATGCAGTAATCAATTTCATATGACATTATCTAAATAATCTTAAGCACATTACATTTTCCCACACATAAAATGCAGTCTCTCCTTGCTTTCTGTAACATGCATTAAGTTTCTGTAAGGCCACACCGACTTAATCTTATGGATGACATCCTCTGAAACTAGTGCGCGCGGGCGAATAAAAAAAATTCCAGCCAAAAATAATACAAAGCTGGTATGGTGAAGTTGCGGCAGTACATAGCGACATATATGACACGCCTGCACATGCTGGCTTTTTGCAGAATTTATGAATCGGCACTGTACATATGTACTGAGTTCTTGAGTCGTGGAGCTTGGTAGCCTGGGTGCCATCCTCCAGAGTTACCACTGGCTCCGTATTGTCGCTAACTACCATGGACTAGCCTAGAGCCAGGCCAGAGCCTTGTAGAACATGATCTTTTTTGAGAACAGACAAAAATCAATGCGCACGCGAATGTCATCCATAACATTAAGTCTGTGTGGCCTGACTAGCATTACCAGATGGAGGTTAGACATTCAGATAGAAAATTTCTCAGTAACTGATGAAGGTAACAGTGGATGCTATCTGGGAAATTTATGCAGCTGCTTATTAATTTCTATGACATTATCTGAATCAGTTAACCATTAGTTAACCATCTTATAAAGTACATCTTTGAGGGGGTTGGCAGTTGCCATTCATATTTAATCTTGAATCTTTTATCAGAAGTAGCTCTGAAAACAAAGGTTTTAAGGTTTCACAAGGAATATAGCGCATTGCATTTTCCCACGCATCAACCTTGTTTTCTATAACATACATTTCTATAAATTGTGTAGTTTGAAGAAAGTTGGAAAAAGTTCATTCATTAATGTGTGGAGAAAGTGTACAACAGAGTTTATAAAAAGACTAAAATGTTTGCTTTTAGGTTTAATATTAAGAGATGCGTGTTTGGTCCCCCTAGCAGCTTGTTATGGAACTGCAGGGGGATTTCTGTTGAAGTCTTTTCATTCCTGATGTCCCCAGACTCACCAGAGTAAGTCCCTCCACGTCGTACGTGACCTTGGCCATGGTCTTCATGTACTTCATGACAGACAGGCTGTCCTCGCGGGACAGGATAGCCTCCTCGTGCAGCTTCAGGATGGCCAGCGAGAACCGGAACAGAACCTTTGGACCCTCCAGCAGAAAACAGTCCCAGATTCGCAGCAGGGTCTGTAAAAGGAAAGCAGGCCTCGAAATTAAATTTTTTTCCTATTGTCCCAGCACTGTCCTGAAAATAAATTTCAATTGTCCCGATGTGCGGATGAACTGTCCCAACCTGTTTTTCAGGAAGTGAACTTGAAGTCAGCTTTATTTTGCTTACGTCCTGACTTTCGGGCGTGCTATAATTGCAGAGTAAACGGCAAATTTTGGGGAGCTTTTTCCGGAGACAAACGAAAGAAGGATGACATTCTGATGTTGATTATTTTTCTATTGTCCCGAAAATGTCCCAAATTGTCTTTTTAGTTGTCCCAGCTAAAATTCTAGTGGTCAGGGCATGCTCTCCCGAGAAAATTTTGTAATCTTGACAGTGCATAATTATATTATATAGTTCCGTGAACACGTCCATTTTTCTCAGACAGTTAACTTATGCTACCGTGAACATAAAGTGAATTACAGTAATGGAATTGTCATAACCACCTTCTACATATAAACCTCACCTCAAACGGCACAGAGTCGAAGAAGAGAGCGAGGAACCAGTTGAGTGTGACAGTAGACAGGAGGATGCCCAGCAGTTCCAGATGTTCCTGTAGATGTGGCATGATCTCAGTCACCAGCTCCTTCAGCACCTCCTGGTCTGCCTGAGCTCCCACCAGGTTCTTATCAAAGTAGTTATTACTGAAGTACTTCTCTGTCACCGCTACAAGCAACCTGTGGACGAGTTTTACAAATGATTTCAGTGAAAAGAATACAACTAGTAACATTTGCAAAACAAACGTATAATGTCTACCTTGAGTTCGCATATGGTCTGCTCTTTTAATTCTTACTAGACAAACACATTCATATATATGGTCAGACAGGAGTGTAAATCCTTCCTGCTATAAAATTGCAGCATGATGTAACACTAGTTACCATGGTGACAGACATCTGGTTCAGGTCATTAACCTTATTTGAAACAGAGCAAAAACTAATGTCTTCCTTTAGTAAACATAATTACTACATTTGCAAAGCAAATGCTTGGTGTTTACGTTCACATGTTCTAGACCAACAAACCACCAACACATTCACATACATATATAAGGTGACCAGCCCCTCCAGCTCTGTCCTGCTACATAATGTAACCCCAAACCACAGGGTGTCCACTACAGCACCAGTTACCATGGTGAGAGACATCTGGTCCAGGATACTTGAGGTTTTTTGGGGGGTTGCATCTTTTAACACAATCCAAAATCATTTACCTGTTGGCAGTTTACTGTATCTGTCCAAAGTGCTGAAATGTCATCCACTGGTTTGTTATACTACTCTGTATGAAACTGTAATGTTGCATACCTTGTGGTACTTGTACATTATATACCTTGTGGTTCGTGTGAGTAAAGTTCTTTTAACACAACTCAAAAAGCATTCACCTGTTATCAGTCTGCTGTATCTGTCAAAAGTGCTGAAATGCCATCCACTGTTTTTATGCTATTCTGTAAGAAACTGTTGTACTATGCCTTGTGGTACCTTACTTGTTACTCGAGGGTTAAGTTCTTTTAATACAGCCCAAATCATTTACCTGCTGCTGTATCTGTCCAAAGTGCTGAAATGCCATCCACTGTTTTATGATATTCTGTATGAAACTGTTGTACTATGCCTTGTGGTAGTTTACTTGTTACTGGAGGTTTAAGTTTTTAACACAATCCAAAATCATTTATTAGTTGTTGGTCTGTTGTATCTTTCCAAAGTGCTGAAATGCCATCCACTGGTCTGCCATGCTGTTCTATACGAAACTGTTATGTTTTGAAGTAGTTAACTTGCTACCTGAGGGTTAAGTTCTTTTATAACACAACCCAAAACCATTTACCTTTTGGTGGTCTGCTGTATCTTTCCAAAGTGCTGAAATGCCATCCACTCAGTAAAAATCTCGCATGCCATGTTATACTATGCAAAACTGTTGTTCCAACACAAGAGATTGTTCTCATCTACATGTAGAGTTTGCGACCAGTCACTCTGGTCTTCTTCAATAGACTGACCCAGTGAGGCTTGTCACATGGCTTCTTTGAAGTGTGACATCAACACTGGGTCAAAGGTATCTAGATCTGGTAAACGAAGGCATGGGACAAGTCTCACTGGGTCAGTCTTACTGAAGAAGACCAGGGTGATTGGTTGAAAGCTCCATTTGAGAACAATTCTTTGTGTTGGAACAAAAGTTTTAAACTGTAACTACCAACACAGATGAACTTTCACAACACTATGCAAAACTGTTGTGTTGTGCCTTTAGGTACGTAACAGATAATCTAAAACAAACAACAACAAAAAAAAACAGACCAGAAGGCGTCCTCCTCCTCCAGAAAGAGCAGACTCATGCCAACCATGAAGTTGAGTCCCTGACAGTATCCGATGTTGGGGTTGTGTAGACAGTACGCTTGGAGGACATTTCTCAGTTTGCTGATCTAAAGAGCGAGATGAAAAAAAAAAGACTTGTCTGAGAAAGCCTTGGGAAACAGTGTCCATGTATACAGAAACAAGACATTCAGTGTGGTGGAGAAAAGGTGGATGACAATCAGTTACTGTTAGTACAATGTAGTACAAAATTGTTATTTGTAACTCAGAGTTTTAGCTATTCTACGGTCAAAGGATTCATCTTGATCATTTCTCGTCATAGAATCCACTCCTCATTTTTAAACAAATTAATATTAGTTTATAATAAGTAAAGGTACTCTTACACAAAAGAAACAACTTTTTTACTACAAAGTTTCCCTTTGACATTGTCAGACAAATCCTGAGTGTGCAAACATTTCATACTATCTTTTAGAATGGTCTTATTTGAGCTTTTTTGGCTGTGTTATAGAAAATGTACTATAGCAGTGTGTTACCATGTTTGGGCATGAGTCATCAGAATGGCATGCAGAGCAAGCAACCAATAGGCATGCAGCTTTCCTCTATCCTTCTTGCTGATTGGCTGTTGGGATTTGATTGGGTTTTTCACAGTGCTACCGTCAGTCGTGGATTTAATTCCACAGCCAACTGATGATGATGTCGAGAATTGATGTTTTCTTACCCCATCAGCGTCCAGTTGGTTGAAGTGTTCGTTACATGGCATGGTCCTGAGGAGGTCCAGCTCTATCTGCTTTCTATGCTGGGACACTATCTGTTAAGGGGACAGGAAAACACAATGATTCTATCTGAGAAAGTTGCAAACAAGAAGAAAAGTGTCAAACTTAGCTGTTTTTTCAAAGAGTAATCATGGTAGTGCTCTTCTGTTTCAAAATCTTCTCAAGCCTAACAATGTATGCTACAGCTTTCCTTGTGAAAAAAGTTACGGTTTTGAAATATCCGATACCAACTTACTGGGAATAATGCTGTTAACTTACCACAGACTGCTCTGACAGTGTTACCAGGTCATCATAATACCCTGGACCCTGAAACAGAGAGATTTAAATTGATCAACAACAACTTGTGCAGTCAGTGTAAAGGATCATACAAGCCTACACAAATACATGTACATCTGTAGTGATGTCTTATCATGAAAGTTCATCAGTTAAAACTTAGGATCCAACACAAAGAAGTTTTCTCACCTAGTCGCTTTCTACTGAGGAAGACTAAAGCTCTAGGTGAGAGAACTTCTTTGTGTTGGATCAAAAGTTTGAACTCTAAACTACAAAAAAATTGTAGTGATGTCTTGTTCTGTGGTCCTTACAGTTATCAAGCACTTTTGTCTCATTGTTCTTAAAATTGACTTTAAGTGTGTGTAGTACCTTTTGTTCCTGGATGTCCTGTGTTTGTAGGTGGACAAACTTCTGCCATACCTCACTGCGGTACTGGTCAGGGATACCTTCTCTCACCAAGGCCTTCAACTCTTTCTGTAAAATAAAATAAAATGGTATGTCTCTTAACAAGTTCTGAAAAGAAGATTCTTTCTGTGCTTCTTCCAGTTGAACCACACCAAACGTTTAATTTCTTGTAACAGTTATAAAATTGATTATCATAATTGCATGACATTGTGTGATTCATTAGATATTGTTACTTGTGTAATATCTCCCTTTAACTGTTTATTGTTGTTCGTATGTCATATATGCTGTATGTGTTAGGTGTGCACGCTATCAGCATACTTGCTGCCTAGTGCACCCTTTGTGTTGTCATGTTACAATATCTGAATAAATAAGTTCTGAAAATTTATATGTAGAAGCAGGTCTGCTGAAGGACTGGAAGTAACAATTTTCACCATATTTTTCTCATCTTCTTTGAGTTCCCTCTCACACATTCCAGCATTTAAGGTTTAGAGATTTTATCAGCAAATGGAAAAGTTGATTCTGGAATTTGATCTGAGAATCCTAAAATCCTAAGAAAGAAGATAATCTGCAGTCAGTTCAATTTTAGTAAAACAAGAAATCAAAGTGGATTCTTACAGTTTTTTGCAGGTCCTGCCTGTGTGCCTTGAGATAGTCTGTCCACTGGGTCTGGTGCTTCTCATAACTCTGTAAAATATGAAAGGAATAATACAATGTAGAAAAATTGAAACATAATCTCACTCAAATATTACTACATAGTCTATACATAATAGGACCCATTATAATTCCAGACAAACACAAAGTCATCTTCTATTCCCTCAAAAAGCCCCTTTCCAAGTAAAAAGAAAACCTTGATCTGGTCGTAACAGAGAAGACAGATGTACAGTATATACAGTTTCATTGTACCAGTAACTGTACAATGAACAGTACTAGTGGACCACAGCTTAATGTCCTGTTCCATGGACTCTGACCCTTTCCTGTAGTGTGCATGTTGGGTGAGCAAGAACAACTCTAGGACCTGAGACAGGGTCACCAACCACATACTGGACTAAGCACACTTCCTGTAAAATGATACATTGCATGATAGTACTGTACAATGTACAGTTAGAGGGATCCTGGGCCCTACTAGGGTTTGGGTTGGCGTTAGGAAGAGCATCCAGCCGTAAAAATCTTTCTTCAAAAAAGACTTGTATTTGATGCAAGCATGTCTAAACCCCCGTTTCGGGGGGAAATGACATTGAAATTGGATGTAAAAAAATGTACATGAAGGTACAGAGATTTCATCAGGAAAGCAGTGCATTATACTAAAATTTGTGTCCACTCATATTTTACTACAGCAGAAAAGCAACTGCTTGTTGCTCGTGGTGGTGTACCTTTATCTGTGACCTGTAATGCTGTGTCAGCTGCCTGCAGATGTAGTGGAGCTGGATAGCCTCGTTGTGCAGAGTGATGATGAAACCATAGCTGTCTGTGTGGGTAGCAACCTTGCCTGACCTACAAAGTCACAAGTACATAGAAAGAAGATTGTAATTGTTAACTATAATAATATAATATTATAATTAATAATAATATAATTAGATTATAGCTTTTTTCACAAGGCCACACCAATTTAATTTCTTGGTTAACGGATTTTTCTAGGAAAATAATGGAGCGGGTGGGCGAAAAAAATAATAAAAACAGGCCTAGGCATCCTATTATGGCCCAAAATTGTTCGATAGGAGCCATGAAGTCAACACACCAGACTGGTTCAAAATTTAAGCAATGAATTTTGAACTTTTAATGATACCATTGCATTGAAAGATGGATAACTGTAACAACTAGGAAGAAAAGGACTGTTTTCAACTGTTCAGGGCAAAATATAAACATTTTGCAGTTGATTCTGAATTTTCATTTTTTTTTTTTTGCAAATCAGAAAAAAAATGAAGCGGGAGAATCCGTTAACCAAGAAATCAAATTGGTGTGGCCTAATTTTGAATAATTTCATCAGGTTGGCAGAAGGTTCTTCAGGCAACAAACGGTCATTTTTTTACATCCAATATTCTGTTGACTGTCAGACTCTGTCCATTTCTTCAGGGCAACAATGGTTCTGATACATACTGAAGATAGGTGTTACCGCTGCAATATTAGACAACAGAGACAACATAGACAACAGTTTTAAGGAACTTGCCTGTCAAATGTTGGTAGTGTTGGGTTGATGGTTCTTGCTTCTTCTAACATGGCCTCCAACCTTTCATAGTGCTGATAGGGAAAACATTGTCCCTTTAATTACAATAATCCAGTAGCTAATTTCAAATGCTTCAAGTATGAAATGATGACAAAAATATTATCTGAAATGGCACTAAATGTCAATATCAGACAGATTTCCAAGGCCAATCAAGTTCAACCCATTCGCATTCAAATTGGAACCCAAACATACAAACCTATCATACATTTAGTACCCCCCAAAACAATACTTCTGTCCTGGAAGTAAATAAATCATTCAACAATCATCATAACTGAGAAAGATAAGTTAACAATGGAGTGATTAAGATGATGACCTTGTCTCCTCCATATGCCCTGATCTCCATAGAATCAAATGGGTCCTCAGGAGGAAGGTGGATACACCCCTGGAGTAGGTAGATGTAGTCTCTCTTGTACTCATCCAACTGGGCTTCCATACTCCGAATCTTCCTGCAATGGATGGATAGGTCCAGAAAGTAGACAATCTTTAGCAAAAAAGCATTCATAAGCCATCATTATCATATCAGGGCTCGAAATACTGGGTGCATGTGCGCTAAGGTGCACCCAAAATTGGAGCTGTGCACCTAAATTTTTTTTCTGTTGGTGCACCCAAATATTTTTGTAGGAATTTTTAGCATTAGAAAATATGTATAATAGTATACTGGATATTCTTGGTCTCTAAGTATTAGAAAAATAATAAAATCTCTGACAGTGGTCAACATGCCGAAAATGGGCAAAGATGTCTGTTGGTCTGTTGCCATGCCGGAACGTAAATGGAAGATAACTAAATAAAGACAGGAGACAAGAAAAGGCTCTGATTTAATGTTTTGTTTTTTACTTTGATGCAGTGATATGTGATGCTGGCTGTGTATATGTGATGTTCTCACTGAATCAAAACGTGTAAAATTATTGAGTCAACATTTGAGAATGTACTATGTAGGAACCTTGTTTTTTCGGCCCACCTTGTTTTTTTCTTTGCCCTATCGCATTAGATTTGGAGTCTGCAGAGGATGTCATCCATAAAATTTACTTGCTGTGGCCTAACGCCTAAGAAACAAATCTTGATCTTCTTGATCTTATTTCTATGGTTCTAGCGAGTACAGTACTCACGCGTGCTGTTGTCGTGACTTGAGCTGCTCCTGCTGACGTAGGCGGGACAGTTTGTGCACCTCCCCGTTGAGGAAAGTGTTCTGGTCCTGTAGGATGCGACACTTCTCCTGCATCAGGGCAGCGTACTTCTGTAGCTGGGCCGTCTCTTCACTAGACATACTGGACAATAGGCAAGGATTCTGTTTTTAACAGTTTCACTGGACATACTGGACAATAGGCAAGGATTCTGTTTAAAAGTTTGAACTTGGCAATTTGGTTAAATAATTTTTTTTTATTGTGCAAACAGTACCCGTGCAGTTGCAGCCTTTATACGGCAGAATTGATGCAGGGTATCACATAATAATCAATACAAATCACAACAATCAAATAATACACAACACATATATTTGCTCCACAGATTTTTTGTGGTACTGTTGCAAGGGTCTGTGCAACTGTTATTCGGCGCCACAAAGTGACCTCAATACAACTTTCCCTAACCCAAGTTAGGTACCCATTCACACCTCGGTGGAGTGAGGGAAGTCATCATGTTAAGTGTCTTTCCCAAGGGCACAACGTCGGGCGCATGTCAGGACATGTCCCGGGTACAACTCGGGATCGAACCCAGGTCTCCCTCCTTCATAGTCAGATGCTCTACCACTACGCCATCCGACGCCACTTAATCAATTGTAAGTACGACAACCTCTATAAGCCAGCCATATGGCCATAACAACCTCTTTTTTTCAGTCCCAATTTTTTTCCCATGCACATAAGCATTAGGGGACTTGCCTAAGCCGACCACATGTTCAATGCAACTGCGACTGGCCTTTTTGGGACCGCACACAGCCCAATCTTTGCTCGTGGTGGTCACAACATGAACAAGTGTGTGGCGGAAAATTTTTGTGATGATACCGCAAGAAATCTTGATGGATTTGGCTAGTTTGCCACTGATTTTGACAACATCACAGTCTTGGCACAGTGTACAATGGTGCCGACTGAGTCACTTTGGGTCCATGGGGCAGTCGTTGTAATATGAGAGGACCACTTGTCTAAGAAGACAACTTTTACCTGTCATCTTCCGTCAGTTTTTTCCTCTGCAGGAGTTCCAGCTGATCCTCTAGTTCCATGATGCGCTCGTCTCGACAGTTCAGGATCTCCTTGTAGCTGTTCTCACGGTTTAGAACACGGGCAAGCTCCTTTTTGGTCGACCTACAAATTTAAAATACCCACAATCAGGCTACAAATACCAGCTAACATCGAGCCAAGAAGGAGATGGTAAAAAATTAAAGCTGCTGTAACACTTGGGAGCCAAAATTTGAGAAACGAAAATTGAAAAACATCTTGTGATTGTCAATTACTCCTACTTTTCAACAATTATTGTTTCACATTTCTGACATTTGTGGCGCACTCATTTGGTGGCACCAGCACAAAATATCAGAATGTAAACAAACATCACTGGCAACTGTATTTTCACTTTATAGACACAACCGTATGGCATAATATTTTTTGTACTTCCACCAAAGGCACTATGCAATAGGGTTGATACTAAACACTTTGTAAAGAAATTACAAGAAAATTGACTCTTTGTATTGTCCTAAAGTGTTACATAATGTAGCTTTAAGAAAAAAGTAGCAAAACAAGCAACAGAATACGAGCAATTGCCATGAAGTCACAGCCAGCGAGTGGTAGGCAAAACACGGTTAACGGTTGACTGATTTGCCTAGTACCAGTAATTTGAATTTGTCTTCAAATAATTTGCATGTATATGATGTAAACAAAACAGCAATCGCTCGTATGGTGAAATGAACGGCTCCTTACATTAGTTCCTTCTGTAGCTGCTGTAGTTTCTGGTTAATGTCGACTGCCCCGGCGTCCTTGTCGTCTGTAGAGCAGTCTGAGTACGACCTCAGATGGCTGGGTCTGAGGTTAAAAAGTCACTGTAAGTTACACACTAGAACTGCTTTTCTTCAGCTTACTGTAAATTAGGAAACTTTTGCGGTGGTTTTATTTTTGCAGTGATTTCTCCAACACAAATGCAAAATATTCTTCCTTGTACAACTTCAGAACTACAGAATTATTTTATATGCAAATTGAAACATATCAAATCCTCCCTTTCCCACATTCCACGAAATAAGACCACCGCAAAACAAAATGCATTTACGGTAAAGAACTTAATATTATAGATGGAATATGGCAAATAAAGGCACAGTGTTGCTAGAACAGATTGCTTAGGCCTAGGAAAAAAATGTTGTGTTTCCTGTTTCAGTCCTGAAAAAATTAGGGTCAGTATGTAGGGATTATCTTTTTTTTTTAGAATTCGGTGATATCTATATAGTGATCCAACTTATACAATACAGTTTAACAAAGTAAGACTTTTCCAGGGTCAGTCGGGAAACAGGAAACACATTCAACTTTTTTTTTTCCTAGGCCTTAGTACAGTACTAGGAGAATTCCAACATGACAAACTTGTGGAGCCTACCGTAGATTTCCTAGTGACCCATGCCAAAAGCTGCTTGTAAGAATATTTAAACAATTGTGAAAAACATTTTCTAACCAAGAAAGATTTCAAATCAATCATTATGCTATCTGACCATATTGATTTTAGATTAGACCACAGCAAGTAATTTTTATGGATGACAATCATCAGCATGCATTAATTTTTGCCTGATTTAAAGAAAAGACATTTTGTTGTCTTATGACAGTGGTCATGGCAAAATGTTAATTAAATATAAAAATCTATTGGTTCTGTCCCAAATGCCCTTTTCTGGTAAATTGAGATGTATACACATCTACAAGGACAAGTAATCGTTGTGTTGAATACAGAAAAAAGAGACCTGTTGGTTGTGATATCATGTTCTATTGTCTCAATTCTTGTTTACATGTAGCAAGGTTTATGATCATCTAAAAAATTTTTTCCTGCCATTTTTTTTGGCCCTATAGCATTAAAGGCATCCAGTGCAGTTTTTAGGGCTTGGAAACCCGATTTTTCAAAGTCAATATTCCAGTTGTTTATCTACATACTGAGTTGAAACCACACTGTCCCAATGTATATTGACCCTCTTGGAGCAAAAATTCCCAAACTTCTGACGGAAAATGGTTACTGGAAGGGCCCTGGGCTGATTTTTGGGGGGTACTGCCCAGAAAATAAAGGACTCATCTTGGGGCTTGTTTCTGCAGTTTTAAATGCCCAAGGTATGAAATACTGACTCAAATGCGCTAAATATATAAAAAGCAGTACAATGTATGTCTCAATATCATAAAGATTGCCTTCAGAATATTTCCATTTTTGCTGCCATGAAATCGCATTGGATGCCTTTAAAGTTTGAATCTGCCGAGAATGTCATATATTATCAACTTAACTTGCTGTAAGCTTAGTGATTATAGTTATACTAAAAGAGAATAATCTTTAAGATGTACTTACTGATATTCGTCACTGCGTAGCAGGTCAGAGATCTTGAGTTCAGCATCTGAGTTGAGTCTCCTCAGTACTCTTGTCTTGATGGGAGTGGACGGTTGGGAATCTGTATTGTCTAGTAACACATAAACATCTATAACACACAGAACATAGTCACAGAAAATAACACATTAATTCTCAAGAACATTACTGTCAAAGTGAAAAAGCACAATACAATTACTTTTTGCAGATAATTGCACTAAAACATCATAAAGATATGGAAAGAGATGTCAAAAAATCTAAGTCTACCAGCAAAATTTACCCCTCAAAATGCAGGAAATAGCATTTCAGAGGGTCAAGATTTCAAGATATTTTTGGACGAGCATGCCTTGCACCCCCTACGTTTTTTGCATCTCAAGAATATTTATATGTTACCAGGGCTACATTTGTTCACTGTCAAGCAGTGCTACAATGTATATGACACCCTTTGTAAGTAAAACTTACAAAGAAACATGCGAAAGAGAAAAACTGTACTTGTTTTTCTCTTTCTCTTTAATGGCACTAAGCAAATAGTAAATGGTGCCCATATGGTGGTCATAGGATACAAATGTATCTAGCGATAGTGGGGCGCAATTTTGATCAATAATGAGCAAGCTGTTCTCTAGTTTTCATCAGTATTGATTTCCAAAACCACTACAAATGTCTTCTGCTGAATCAGAGGTCAGTTGGTCAGTATTCTACTGCCAATATTAATGACAGTCAATGGCAGTAGAGTGAGTATGCAGGGCTCGAAATTCATTTTTGGGAATAGGTGCACTGGTGCACCAAACCTAAAAAAAATAGGTGCACAATATAAAACAAAACATACAGTGTACAATCATGTAATTACAGATCTTACTGCTCCTCTTCTAAGCTTAAATCTGAAATGGGAGCTAACTTTCTGACGCTTAGATGCCAAGAATATCCAGTATACTATGATTTAATACATATATGTACAAAAATACCTACAAAAATATTTGGCTGCACCAGTGCACCCACAGAAAAAAATTGGGTACACACAGCTCCAATTTTGGGTGCACTCAGGTGCACATGCACCCAGTATTTTGAGCCCTGGTATGGTGCCATCTTAGGACATAATATTTCACCTTGATCTTTTAAGCATAGTTTGTACGCACAGAAGTCACTTCTTTATCTATAAAAGAAGAGAATAAGCTAATTGCTGTGGAGGTGCTTAAAAAATACATTTGGGATGAGAATGATTTTGTTGATGCTAATACATGTATAAAACTAGAAAGACTGACATTTGCTCGGGAGCAAATGCAACAGATGGCTTCACCACATCCCCATACCAAAAATGGACCTATACCCCTCCCGCACAAATGGACGGTTTCTAAATCAACCCTGTCCAAGATATGAAGTGTTCCAATAGTCTATACCCCCATGCAGCAATGGAATCTTCCAATGCCTTCTTCTCCACTTCGTGGTGTGGTAAGGCCATAATAATTGCTTCGAAATGTTGTCTTTCTCAAAAACCACCTTTTCAGCACCAAGGACAGCTATCAGGTCTAGCCTTCACAGCTAGGATAGACCTAGTGAAGTGTTAAATCAATCAAGAAGAGACACTTACAAGACCCATTACTGTGTCTCTTGCAGCCGCTTTCTTCACTGTCAGACTTGGTGTCCTCATCGCTGGACTCCTCCAGTAAGAAGGAGGCAGGAGAAGTGGACAGGCGTGACTCCGTGGGTGACCCGGCGACCAGGGGGAAGGTGAAGTTCCTCTGGATGGCCAGGGGCGGAGTCACCGGGGAGTCCTGGGGCAGCCGGAAGTTTCGGAACGGTCCATTGTCTTCAGAGGAAAAAAAATAACAATGTTGATGTTATATTTACTAAGAGCAGTACCAAAAAGGCTCATTCAACCATTTTTCTCAATGATTGTGTCAAAACTTAAAAGGAAAAGAGCAATTTTATTGTCCCCCAAAAAAAGTTTTTTAAATTGTGCAGTTCTTAGTGGCAAATGTGCAGAATTTGAAACATTGGCGACAACAAATCCATCTGTGTCCTCATCAGTATTAACATTATTTGGACACAGTATCAAGCTGAAAGGCCTGGTGGGTGTCACTCAACCGTACAGGGAGGGAAGTCATGTAAAGTGCCTTTCCCAAGGGCACAACACTGGGCATGTCTGGGGATCGAACCCAGGACCTCCTTGTTCTGAGACAGACGCTCTGAGGATTACAATGTATGCCACACAACACCACGAAGCATTTTCTAATTGTACATATACATACTTATCCACCACTCCCTAACATGTCATAGTTACAATGTACAATAATAAAACCTGACATGGTACCATAAGTTTTCATTCAGTCCAAAGTAAAAAAAAAAGTGACCCATGGTTCACCTGCACAGATCTGTAGATCAGCAAACAGGTGAGAGAGGCTGGACGGTTCTCCCAGCTTCTTCTGCAGAATACGGACCTTGTCTTCTCTCAGGCTTTGGGACCTGGATAATTAAACAAAGGTTATTTTATGATTACAAGAGGCTGCAATAATTTGTAGATGATAAGCACTGATAGATATTTTTACTTAAGCCTGTCACACATAGCCAAATATGACCTCCCAAGCATTGTTGAACTCCCATGGTTAGGAGTAGGTCGGGAGCAAGGTTGGCTGTGGTTAGCTGGTGTTCAGTGAGGTTGGCTACTGTACAACTGTGTAAGTTGAATTTTTCTAAAACATTCAGACTGGTGTTGACAGGTTTGGCCATGGTTGGCTCAGGTGATTGGCTGGTGTTTGGGAGTAGCTATTATAGGTCAGCAATGTTTGGGGTATTCGTGGTCAATTTCACCCAAATGTAACACAAATTCCACTCGATTCATAAAGAAAGGTGACATAATCACACAACATAATAGCAGAGCAACACCATCATCTCTCGAAATAGAAGAATGCCAACATACATGTACATGTAGAGTAAATTTGACGGTGTATAGAAAGAGTGAAATTGAACAAAATATGAAGCAAAGAAACTCACTTTCCTTGCCTTATATTTTGTGTTGTTTCCAATCTACTTTGTTTTTTGCTTCACATTTCATTCCATTTTCAAATTGTTCCATTTTGCTTCAATTCGTTCCATTTTGCTGCATTTAGCTTTTTCTGTACACCCTAACTTTACACACCACGTTCTTCTAAAATGTGGTTTTGGTGCATGTACCTGTGAGGAGGGCGGGAGGGTTTCCAGTCTCCTGTCTGTCGAGGAAGAAGGTCCAGACTCTGACTAAGACTCTGGCTAAGTCTTCTCTCCAGGGACACTGCAGCTAGACCAGTCTTAGAGGGACTCCCCTGCTAGAACAAGAAACAGAACAAGAAATAAGTCAAGTTAGACCACTTGTTTCCTTGCAAATCAGAATATAGGTCAGAATGTAGCAAGACATTTAGTGGTCTTCATAAAAGTAGAGGGAATGTGCCTGGGAAAACTTGAGTATGACCGTGTTCACCCAATAAAACTGAGATCACTAATCTTAAAGCATAAACCTGATCCTCGGGCATTGTTTTCATTATATATATTTCCAGATGGTACATAATTATTACATTTCTTAAAAAATATGAGAACCAACAACTTAAATTTGTGTGACCTGGAAAAAGTTTCATTACAAAATGATAATAAAACTAATAATAAAAATATAACACAAAGTAACGGCGACAACAAGAACGGATGTCATGTCTATAGACTTCTTATAGATTCAATTTGGTGAGTTTCAATTTGGTTTTCTTGTGAGTTTCCTTACGATCTGAGGGACCATGGTAAGAGAGCGTTGTCTGGACCGTTTCCTCTGTCTCTCCTCTCGTGCTGTGTTCTTCTTCACCTTTCCAGTGTAGGCATCCCGCTTGGACTGTGGGTAACATGAAACACTCTAATGACAGTGTGTCACAAATGCTCAATGACCTACAGTGGCCTCTTCTTTCTGAAAGGAGGAGGAGCGCCCGCCTTACAACATTCTTCAAAATAGCTCACTACATTGTCGCAATCAACACTCAAACTGTCAGTTTTTTGCAGTCCACACAGGGGACTACCTGGGGGAGTCACTCAGTGACACTTAAATACTGGCCCATACATGCACACGCACAGACACCTACAGATTTTCTTTTTTTCCTTGTACCATCTCCCAATGTTGAGTCGTTCCGGGCCGGGCTGGCGGCCTGCCCGCCTTAGCCTGGACCTCCTCTTCCCCCCTAACAGCACCCCCCGCAGGGTTATTTGGGGGTACCCAAGATGAAGATGAAGACATGCTCTCATCTCATTTATCCATTAGTCCAGTGTTCTTCCAGCCAGGCTAAATTTTATTTCTGTCATCTCAATTTTGTTTGACAATCACCAAAAGCACGAGGTGTCACACCAGAAGTGCAACAATCCTAGAAAGTTTTGGGACATTATCCCTAATTGTATATATTTTTTTTAGGAAAATTTTAAATCTCGACCTTTTGAAATTATATTTCCTGCATTTAAGGGGGAAATTCTGCTGGTAAACTAAATTAACGTCATAGTGATGACATCTCTCTTTTACAAGCGCCGATGTTTGTCAGTCAAAGATGACACTCAAGATGACAGATTGGGCAAAATTCTTGTCCATTAATTGCGAGTGACAAAATTTATATAGACAAATGACAGAAAGAAGGACACTGGCTAGAACACTGCATTAGTCTAATCATTTAACCACTGGAGTAACACCTATACAAACAATTTTTTCCACTCTTTTCTTTATACATGTGTATCACTTAAGCTTGATGTCATGCCTGCCACTCTCTGAAATTATCTTTTCCATTGTTTACCCCTGTTCCTTGCATGATAGTTTTGGCTAGTCCCAATGACTAACATGACCCATAATACATGATTGTCTACTTCAGTTCCCATTTCTTAACTGTGGTTAGGCAGTCTTTGTATGGACCTGTGCTTTGTTTGACACTGTTTCATACTTTATGCGGAATATCTTCAATGATTTTGGCTCTTACACAGCTCAATAAATATACACATTAATACAACAGTTGCCAATTGGTTGTTTTCTGGATGACAGTCAAAAACATCAGGGTCAAGTGTTATCTATAAAAATAATTCCTTTGGCCTAGAAAAATAAAGATGTATGACTCGCAGTGTGCCAGCATTTTGCCAGCTTTTTTATCATCACAAAAACAAGAAGCACTGCCAAACATTCATACAGTTTATCTGAATACAAATATCCTGCAAAATATCATATTATACAAATGTAATTTTCTGAAATCGAATTGAGGTCATAATCTGATCTTTCCTACTAATTGTGGAGTATTTTTTTGGGACTTGAACGTTGAATTTTTTACATACTATATACATTTAGCACTGAGCAAAACAGTGTATGTCCTAATGACTTAGGAGTGCTAAAAATAAATACAGTACAATGTATATATACTGATGGCATAGCTGTGGATAGGGTGACTGACCTGAAGGCCATTGACCCATCGCATGGTGCTCTCATGACTTTCTGCAGTAAACACATGCTCCTTCCCACCAATGCTGCACAACAAACAAAATGTAAATTAAAACTCCAAAATAATTTCATCAAAGAAAATTATCAAAACGCAGCATGTAACATAAAGCAAAAAATTCAGTATCTTAGCAGAACAGAAAGTTCATCTGTGTTATTTGTAGAAGTCATTATGAAGCAAGATTAAACTGTAATTTCCAAAAAAATTTCAACACTTTTTGCACCTATATTATTTGCACAATTGCTCAGTACGTCGGGTGATCAAGCCATCTGCATAACGTGACGTCACAGAAGCGATGGATTAAGCTTCTTAGTCCTTGACAAAAACTAGAATAATTGTACAGTCGAAAAGTCCAATTTCATGTGTTAGAAATTACACTCACTCAGGCCTAGGAAAAAAAATCTTGTATTTCCTGACCGACCCTAGAAAAACCTGCCAACACTAGACTTTTTTTGGGGTGGACCCCTGCAAGGAACATAATTTTTTGAGCTGATCAACCTTTTGTAGCTCCATGATCTGTCACCTGAGTGATAAAACGTTGTACAATTGGTTTTCCAACATTGACATTGAAAATAAGTGTCCTTATGCAAGATTTAAATTGTTAAAACTGTATTGTATACGTTGGACCCCTATATAGATATCACTGAAGTCTTACACTCACTACACTCACTATCCTGGTTTAGATTATACTGCTGCCGGTTTCCCTGTCCCAGGGGTGGGCAGCAGAAGTCTTAAAAAAAAAAGATAATCCCTACCTACCGACCCTAATTTTTTCAGGACTGAAACAGGAAATAACATTTTTTTCCTAGGCCTCAGAGTTTAAACTTCACAAGGATTAAAAATTACACAAAACTTACTTGAGTACAAACTGGTTCTTGTTGTCCAGTTTGAAGGAGATGGCAGCGTGCGTTATGTCAATAGACCCAGACGGAGGGTGGGTGAGGGCAACAGACTCTGTCTTGTAGTAGAGCAGCTGACACTTGCTTTCATCAAATACATACCTAAAGTTGTGCATTAGAAAAGATGAATCAAACCAACCAATAAGCAAAAATTGCATTAGGCCACAGCAAGTAATTTTTATGGATGACATCAGCACCCGCATTAATTTTTGCCTGATTTAAAAAAAAAAAAAATTATTTTTGCCTTCTGACAGTGGTCACCATTCTGAAAATGGGCAAAAATGTCTGTTGCCATGCCGGAAGGTGGATGGCAGATCGCTATGAAGAAAGGAGACAAGAAAAGACTCTGATTTAATGTTTTGTTTCTTACTTTGATGCAGTGATATGTGATGCTGGCTGTGTATATGTGATGTTCCCACTGAATCAAAACCATTTGTACAATGATTGAGTCAAAATTTCAAAATGTAAGAACCTTGTTTTTTCTGCCCGCCTTGTTTTGTTTCGCCCACTCGCATTAAATTTGGAGTCTGCAGAGGATGTCATCCATAAAATTTACTTGCTGTGGCCTTATGAATGTATATCTTTTTCATAACATATCAACCAATCATCAAACAATTTTTAATTACCTACATGTAACTATTCACATTTGTTTTGAGGAGAGCAACATTTTCATTTATTTCTCACCACACTTACTAAAAAGAGTAGAATTTCATCCCAAAAGGCATTGTGATTAAAGTAACGCTAAAGAGTCTAAAGTTGCTTGTATATATACATATTGTACATTCAAACAGCTAGCATTCTATTGACAAGAGATTTCATAGACATTTGCTTTCATGGTCAATAGCAAGTTAGACAGTCATCTTAAGATTGACGAATTTTTTTTAAAATGCAATGCTGACGGAAAAAAGACGTGTTCTACAATGTCACATTTACCATCAGACAGCACCACTTGGTAACATGACCTGATCAATAGCATCAGTTGACACAGGGAGTTACAGGAAGAAACAAGTGCCAAGGACAAGAATGACCTTGGCTTCAACAAGTCTTCTTCCTTCATTTCTTGAATATCTGACATTTCTTCTGGGTCTCTTGCCGAGTTTCCAACTAAATCAACATCTATACATCGTCTTACTGAAGAAAAATTCGTACAACAAGAGCTACCTACATGTACCATGCAAAATTTTTTACTCTAGCAAGTCCAGATCATGAGATATCAGTCCCCCCCCCCGAAGTTACATGACGTTCTGCTGCAGTACTATAACAAGCCACCAGGGGGTCCAAAATCTAATCATTTCGAGGTCTCATGATCAAGACCTACACATACACCTACCAATTGTGAAGACACTGTCCATCTAAGCCTTCTTGCATTATCATGTTCACACACACACACATACACACACAAACACACACACTCTTACATGCACATACATACATACACACACACACACACACACACACACTCTTACATGTACATGCATACATACACACACACACACAAACACACACACACATACACACACACACACACACACACACACACATACACACACACATGTACATAGTTTTACACATACACATATACACACACATTCACACAAATATAATCGTACATATAAGCTTCTAGGCTAAGGGAGACAAAAAGCTATACAGTAGTTTACACAACTGGCCTACGTGCGGAAAACCACGATGACTTTGTCTGTGGCCGTGGCTTGAAAAAGAAAGACTCTAGCCTAGGTCAATACTAGTAGCAGGCCTAAAATCTAGGCATTACAGCAGATGACATGCCAAACTACATAGAATTGTAGCAGAGGGATCATGAGTTACTCTGCAAATTCGTACATCATAATTGATTGCAATACTCCTCCAAAGGTCATTGACCTCCTTCACATCTAGTAAAAAAAGACATGTTCTCACCAGTGTTTTCTCCTTCCTCGTAGCTTTCCTAGAGTACCACCAGGCCGGTACTGGAGATATCCACATAATGTCATCCAGTTCTCTGCCATGGTGGAGGTCTTAGTAGTATAATGGAACACGAATATTGGTGGACTTTAAGGCTTTGACGAGGTCCATATCAGCATGGTTCTCTCCTTGTTGATGAGGGTTTGTTAAAGAAGATAGTCCATATGGATGACTGCATCTTTTTCTCTCCTTGAGATCTGAAAACTAGGAAAAATTAAAGTTAAACTTGAGTTCAGGACATTTAAAAGTATATAGTTATAGCTAAACAGCCAAGGGGTTTTTAATCTGTTGATATTTTGTCGACCTTCCTCTAGGCCTACCAAACTCTATTTCTACTTGTTACATGGCAACTTAGACCACACAAATTTAATTTGTTGTTTTCCTAAAGTACAGTAACTGTTGTATTTACAAAATACAGTGCTTTAAATTTTTTTAAATCCATTCACCCACGATCTCAAGTTGCTCAAAAGCAACTTGAGATCATGGGTGAATGGATTTTAAAACAATGCTATCAGTATCAATGAAAAAAATTAAACCTTAAGCAACATGCTTAACCCCCAATAACAAACGGAGCCCAACTCTAGATAAGTTAACCTTTTCTCTGCCAACAATTGTCACCGTTAGGCCACAGCAAGTAAATTTCATGGATGACATCCTTCACAGACTCAAAATCTAATGCGAGCGCGCAAAAAAAAACAAGGCGGGCCGAAAAAAACAAGGTTCCTACATTTTGACTCAATCATTGTACAGTTTCATTCAGTGGGAACATCACATATACATGTACACAGCCAACATCACATATCACTGCATCAAAGTAAGAAACAAAACATTGAATCAGAGCCTTTTCTTGTCTCCTCTCTTCATAGTTATCTGCCATCCACCTTCCGGCATGGCAAGACATTTTTGCCCATTTTTGGAACGTTGATCACTGTCAGAAGGCAACAAAATTTCTTGTTTTTTTTTTAAATCAGGCAAAAATTAATGTGCACACTGATGTCATCCATAAAAATTACTTGCTGTGGCCTAAGTTAACCTTTTCTCTGCCAACATATCTTGTTGTCACTGTTAGTTGCTGTATGTACAAGTCCATGGCATGATGAAGGTTAAAAACTCTACATGACTGTACAGAAACCAAACACCAAAAACCGACCCCGAATGCTGCGGCCCCGTTGAACAATGCACCTTTTTAACACCTGGTTAAGGTGTTCTGAAGGACAACGACAGCTGATCCCAAACTATCCAATCAGGTGTGAAAGCAAACAAAGGATTACTGGACAGGTGCTCAAGTGCAGTTTGGTCATGTACTCTGCAATCCCACACCTTAAGCACACTTAAAGGCACCCGAAGTAGTGATTTAAGGCAGTAATATAGCCTCTATAACATGCCAAAAACTGGGGGTTTTGGGGGTCTTCATGGTCTTTGCAAGCTTTTATGTGCTATTTTCTGATTGCATATGGACAACATAACCGGTCTGGTTGAATTATCCGTTTTTTAGAACTGGGCTAATAAGAAAACAGCGAAGACCACCAAACCCCCAGTTCTATAAGCCTGCTACGGAGGCTAGCGGTACTAAAACTGGATTTTGTTTAAAGTCAATTTTCTGGTCATTTTTAAGTTAGTTGAATCAACCCTACATGTATATAGCAATCATTATAAGTTTCAGGCTAGTACAACTATAAGAAAATTAACTGACCAATGTCATTCTGAATTTATCTAAACCAGAATCTAAAGCTTAGTTGTTAGAAGTCAGTTCTATATTTTGAGAAGCCTTATATATTGCTTTTTAAGTTCAGCTTCATAAAACAAAAGAAGGATTTGACAAATAATCAAAATAACAACATACATACCTTACATAGAAATAAATTGCTATACATTTAGTACAGACAATTTACTTACAAAATAAGTATCATGTAAAACATTTCAACTAAACTTTTAAGCTTAATTCTAAAATTCACAATGTTGCTGAAGTCACAAAGAGCTTACAAGGGGATAAAATTTTTCCCATCAAATAAAAACATTATACATTGTACATACCTTGGTGTCTGTGACAAGGAAATAACATGTTATACTAGAAATGGCTCTGCATACACGCTTAGTAATCATGCACAATTCCACAAAGCTTTTAGCTTATTTTACGGGCTGTTCCAACACTGAAGTAAAGACTGTAAAGCGTATTATTGTTCTTACTTCCTTTCAACACAGACATCTAGTTTTTGTCCGGTTCGCATCTTGCGTTGACTAATGGTGGACTAATAACGCGATGATGGCCGTATAGCCCGCCAAACTGGTCAACACGGGGGCATTAGGGGCCTTCAGGAGAAACACGATGACGTCCACTGTGCCCTGGTCGGCAAACAAACGCGCCGGAAAACATTCAGGCCTGGCTGGAATTGTAGGAATGTCGAGTGGTGAAATGCCACACTGTGACTCTTGAGTTGGAAGCAAGGGGAATTGAGATCTTCGACTAGATCTCTAGAGGAGCATATCTGTAGTAGAGTGTACTATGGTTTGGTCTGGAAGAGTGTTCTAGCCAGCTTAAAATTTTTTTCCGTCATCTCAATCTTGTTTGACATAACGTCATGTTGAGTACTGAAGGTGCAAGCACAACGAACACTGCCTGGCATACAATTACGTAGCATACACTTGATTTTTAGCAGATTGAAATCATCTTTAGAGTTATCCAAATCATTCAAGATGTACATGTATGGTCATAACCAGAACAAAAAATGTGCTGGAGAAAACATAAATGTATAAAACTGTCAGATGAATATCTTGCTTTATCACTCAAGTTAACCAACCCAATATACCGCCATTAAAGATAAATGGCAAGCCCAGTCTATGGGACTTGGATATAAATAAACCAGTTACTATGGTACTGAAGGTCAAAGAACTTGAAGCAATTAAACACAGGATAATGCCAAACCCTTAACTGTTGCAGAGTGATGAACTTTCAGTTCCAGAATGTCTGTGATTTGTATGATTTATATATACTATAAACAACCTAATTTGGTACATTAGATTTTTATCAGTTTCTACATATATCTTTTAGACTCATACCTTGTATATTAAGAAGTTTGTAGGGCAAGTTTTGAAAATCGAAAAATCTAACAGCAAATCTTACAAAGTGACATGACAGTTGTATCCTGTTGTAGTCATGTTAGAAATAAATAGGTACTATTAGGCCTAGGAAAAAAAGATGTTGTGCTTCCTGTTTCAGTCCTGAAAAAAATGTGGGTCGAAAGTTTTTCTAGGGTTGCTCGGGAAACAGGAATCTGAGGAAACACAACATTTTTTTTCCTAGGCCTAATCACCTTCAATTTTGGTGACTTTTTAAAAATGTACAGATTTGCTGTAAGATTCTAGAACGTGTCTTGTTTCTTCCATGTCCAGTTTCTTTCAGTCTTAAGCATGGGTACTTGCCTGTACCAGTTAGACTGTGTGTAAAAGGAAGTAAGACCACACTGTTTATATGTGCTACCAGCAGGGGTCATTCACAGTGTTCTGTTTGGTCATGGCTGTCAGCACTGCCCGGATATCATCAATCACATGGACTAACAAGGTAGTGGGAGACTAAACCTACTACCGCGTAGCCTGGGTACTATCCCCTATAGTTTCCTGACTGTGGAGCCAGCGGAAACTACAAAGGATGGCATCCAGGCTACAAACCTACTGAGGCATGATACATACTATATATAGTACAAATGCATGTAAAAAGTTCTTCTTGACTCGTTGACTTCTTTGTCCGTGACCTCTACTACCCCTCCACTTCAACCTTGTTGAAAAGCGGCCATATAGGCCGAACAAGCATTTCAAAGTAAAATAAAGACCTAGACTTGACTTGACTTGACCCTTTTTTGCCAATATTACTACTGTACAATCATGTTGTGCTTGATTGTACCATTTGTATATGAAGATGAAAGCTAATCACCATTCAACTAGACATTGCAATTTGATAAAAGATACGCAAGAAACCGTCAAACTCAAAGCAGAACATTTTCACATAATTATACAAAATATGCAGAATTCCTCAAAAAAATATCAGACCTCACAGTTGAAAATTTGGGTAAGTCCAATTTGTCATATTGGAAATAACACATAAAGACCCAAGCATGCTCAAGGTTCAAGGTAATCATGTGTACTTAAATTGGACCTTCTGCGACAGTGCCAAGGAGGCCCACATTTGACATTGAACTACATCTTTCCAAGACCTACCCACATACCAAATTACAGTCCATGAATGTGTCAACCACAAAGATGAAAAAAAAAAAGACACACACCTGCACACAGACGTTTTTCGTGGTGTGGTACATGTATCGTCCTCTGACCCAACTTCCAGCTATATTAAGATAGAGACTCCCGTCCAATCGCATCAGGCCTGGACCACATACTAGTAGTAAGTATGTCCTCAGAGGTCAATGACCTCTTATCATTCATTCTGCTAAAGATGGAGGTCACTGACCTCTTCTTGGTCATTCTGCATTCTATGAAAACTTTATCCATTTCTCCATATTCTCTTTGTGAATTTTCTTTGTATTTACCTTTGCAAATCACTCCAATTGGCCCTTTCACTTTTAAATATGTGTAAAGAAATAAATAAACTCATTTTTTACAAAATGATTAAGTGATATGTTCTGACAGCTTGCTGTGTCATAATGGGTATCAAAATTAAAATCTGAAGGCTGAAAAAGAACATTTTTTCTTACATTTTCTTGAAAATTCTTATATAATAATTATAATAATTGTTGTTTATTGATTGATCAGCGGTAAGTACAATCGCTAGCACGTGGCAGCGCAACTAAAAAAAGTAGCTCTGAATTGCATGCTAGTGTTTAAAAACAGAGAGACAAATATTGCACAGTTACGAGTAACAAATAGACAACTTAAACAAGTGAGTATTTCACAGTTAATAATAAACATATAGGCAACTAAAAAAGAGCGCCGTAAAATGAACTTACTAAAACAATATTCACAATATCAACCTTATTGATGAGCATCACTAGAAAATATTTTGTATAAGAATTCACATACACATTTTGTGGTAGGTTTTTTTGATTTTTGAACAGTTTCTCTAGAGACTACTTAGTATGTAAATTACAGTACCTTATTAGTACAACACTAAAATGTTCCAAATTTTAAGTTGCAGTTCAAGTGTAACTTTATTTAACTTTTCATTTACTAGTACGATACGATACAATACGACTTTATTGGTTTATCGCAGTTTACAGAGCCTGAATTAAAAACCACCAATTTACATGAAGAATTTTTATCTAGTTTTCAACATTGCAGACATATATGTTTACAGGCTTCCAACTTTTAAAATTTGCATAATTAATTAAAAGGTGTATGGTAGAACATGAAGAATTACATACGTTGTCCGATTTTAAATTCAGTATGAAAACTAGCAGCCGTACTAATTTAGCAATCTTGTCAGGTAAGGAATTGTGGAATGACGTGTATCTTTGTGTATTCACTTTTTGTATGTCCAGTTTATGTCCATTTCTTGTACTTTTTACGCACACACACAACCCCTAACCTGTTCTACTCCAATAGTTGGTACACAGTCACTATAAATAGATAATACTCAGTCTCCAGAACAGTAAACAAACAAGAGATGTGTATACAACCCCTGAAAACAGTACTGCAATTGTTTCGGGAACATTCTGGACTAAAAGTAGGTGTGCCAAAGTGCCCTACATAAGGGGGGCTTTGTCAGCAGTGCCCTGGTCAGGTTACAGATCATATGGTGGCATCGCCAGTGAAAGTTTTCTGCGTACTGACAGTTTGTTTTTAGGCCACAGCAAGTAAATTCTATGGATGACATCAGCACGCGCATTAATTTCGCCTGATTTTGGAAAAAAAAAAGCAAGAAATTTCGTTGCCTGCTGACAGTGGTCAACATGCCGAAAATGGGCAAAGATGTCTGTTGCCATGCTGGAAGGTGGATGGCAGATAACTATGATTGAAGAGAGGAGACAAGAAAAGGCTCTGAATTAATGTTTTGTTTCTTACTTTGATGCAGTGATACGTGATGCTGGCTGTGTATATGTGATGTTCCCACGAGTGAATAAAAAGACTCAAAATTTGAAAACGTAGGAACCTTGTTTTAACTTTTATTCGGCCCACCTTGGTTTTTTTGCCCGCTCGCATTACATTTAGAGTCTGCGGGTGATGTCATCCATAAAATTTACTTGCTGTGGCCTTATCAGAGGCTTTGCAAAGTAGGGAGAGACAACATGCAAGGATCTGACAGGGATGTACCAAGAATAACCTAAGGGAAAGAAAACAAGCACTCGGGTTACTTGAACTGGGAGGGGTAAGGGCACATCAATGGTTCAGCCTGGTGTCTCTGCTGCTTATTTTTTTATAGTAGGGTCTGCATGGGGGGATCCTCGCAATTCTTAATGGTAAATCTAGGAGGAGGGCCTATAATGCCTAACTGTAAAATCAGGGAGGCCGGCAATGCTATAACTGTAAATTAAGTTGTAAATGTCAAATTGTGAAAAAAAAAATACAATGTACTATTGGATATATGTAACTTAGTATATACAAAATAATGTACATGTACATATTACCTTTTCACAAGTTCAATGAATAATAAGCATTAGACATTAATACCTGATGAGATAAATAGCTAAATATTAACAAATATGAGGAAGTTGAAATATGTTTTGACAGTGCGTCACCAGAACATACTGCACCTGTGTGAAACCTGGATTTTTCATGATTTTCATTGGATCTTTGGTCAACGTTACATCAGAATTTTTGCCTATTGCAGATGATCTTTTCCGACACAACATTTGAAAACTATAGATGGAAATGTTAAATATGTTCTGCAAAAATATTTGTTTCTGCCAAAGTGCTATATATTCACAATACAATACGGGTTTCTCACAGGTGCAGTACATTCTGTTATTAGTGTTAAATTAAATGTGCTATTTTTGACAAATATCCTGTATGCAGACATCAAGACCAGTACAGGTTATATAGTGGGTTAGTACAAGTATTTGAGAAGGCAAATATTGCTCTCAATCGCTCGGCCCCATGTAAACATCCTGGTAAAGTCCAGTCGAAGGTCTGCCAAAATCAATATTGTTATATTTTTTTTACCCCGACACCTGGACATTTTGACCTCTTGAACTTGTTTGAACTGTGTAAACTTTTTAATTTCATTATAGATTTATGGTTATATTACTTTTATGAAGTATCTTATGAATTTTTTTAAGTACAAATTACCTGTGGCAAAAGTGGTGATTATTAAAATAATCATCACTTTTGCCACTTGTGCGAATATTTGATGTAGCTTTGACTAAAATCAAAATTTTAAGATTTCAAAGTTTTAAAATTAATATGAGCAAACACATGGTTCATACTATTGGTCTTATGATGCCCAAATAATTTTCACTGTGAAGGAAATTTAAAGTACAGTCCTAAAAATAGTAAATATTAATAACTTGTTTACTCCCAAATCCAGATGATATTACATGTAGTAACTACAGAATAAATTTGAAGTATTTAATACTATAATTAAATAGATAGCTTAAGCCATATCTCTATCTTAAAATTGTATCTATAAACTTTCAACTATTCAATATATGCTTATAAATATTATGTGACCTCCTGCTAGTACCATTGAATCTATGACAATATGTACATATCAATAAAATACGTACATCAAATAATGTTTAGACTTTGGAACAAATCTTAGAGTAATGGTATAAGTTGATTCAACTATTGCCTTGTACGTAGGTCGATTTTGTTGTACCCATGTATCTGTCTGAGTACTAGTATGTTTACATGTAGCTTATAAAAAAAAATTTAGACCTTACGAAAGTTGCTGTACTTTTGTTGTGTCAAAATAATTATTAAGTTCTTTATATCAATAAGTGACTGACGAAATATTTCAAACTCCAGTGCAGAAACAATGTAGAAAGTTCACGATTTGGGCAAAATTTCAGCCCGCCGAGTTTGCAAAAACCACGCTTCTCAAACACTCGCACGAGTGTTCCGTCTGCTATGTCAACAAGAACAGAACAAGACTCCCCACGCCCCCCTCCCCACCACTCGCCGTACTTCCTCCGGTATTTCGACCCGTCTTTTCACCAAAACCAAGTCAGCAAACCTCTGGGAAACGAACCCCTGCCCTTTAGACAAGCATCACCTACCTCAGGACTTGTGCATGTCGCTTGAAAGTGACGCTGGAGGCTGAAAACGGGTGAAAACGAGAAGAAAACACCTCAGACTGTCGTCCGAACCAGCGCCATCTTGGTTGTTGACTCTGGAAACATCCGGGCACTTCGCTGAGAGGAAGTCGAGAAAAAGTTTCGGACAACAGGTGCACCGAGGCTATGTTAGGAGTTTAGCAGGATGCCACTGTATGAGTTTAAAAATGCTATAAAAGACAGATACCGCAAAATTGTGCTCAGAATAAAACCTAATGATACTGCCATGGAAAATTGTTGCTTGGTTTCCTTGAGTCTGCTAGATATAACGGTACAGTTGTGTGTAAAATCTGATAGATGTGTAACGTTAACTGTTACCCTCCCTAATACCCTCCCGGCTACAGTACATTGAAGGTTTTAGTGTTAACTTTATTCATATCAAATACAAATTAAAGACACTCGACTGAACCTGACTACGTTTAAAACTATATATTCTTTATAAACTATTTTTTTTTACAATGATCAGTTTTACATGTTGCCTTTGCATCTGGGACTGCAACCTTAAGCTGTAAGTTATTCGTTATAGAACTTGTACATACTCGTCTCTGTCAGTTATATTTTCTTTCTTTTTATGGTGAAGCTAGAAGTAGCAACCGCTAGAGTTGTCCACCACTGTGTCATGTACTATTTCATGTTCAGCAATAAAAATATTTTGAATGATTGAAGACCTTTATTGTACACACATACCCACTGGGTTAAGTAGAGGTCACAGTAAAAGGATGGTATACAGATGGCATTACATATACACATCGTCAAGTAACTACAATTAAGTAAATTAAGTTATTTCCGGTTTCTTCTCGTTTCTTAGTAATAGTAAGAAGGTAGAAACGGGTATGTTTAAAAAATATAGAAGGTTTGTCTAAGCTCATATATAAATTTATCTGTACAGCATATTCATACTGAGAATACATTTACATGTAGCTAGATATAGATTTCTGGAATAATATTGTTGAATAAATTACATATCAAAATAATATCTAAACATGGCAAATTCCACACTATCATAGTAAGAGAAGAGACCAATAATTCAGAATGATAGACTCATAGAGAGGTTGAATTGTATTACGCAACAATCGGACAGTGAAGCAACATCCAATCAACGTTCTAGAACGCATCTTTGCGAGCCTTGACAACAGTTCCAACAAACGTTGAGAGCAGGCGCACGGAATTTTGTTCCGTCCGTTATCCACGTTTTTATCGAGCGAACTGAATTTTTCCCGCGCAAAATATGGGAAAATCTGGACGTAAGAAGAAGTTCGGGGCACGGTGGGCAAAGAGCGCGAACCAGAGGGCGAGAAAAGGGCGGGAACGCGCGCCACCTACCGACTTGCCCGGTCAAGCAGAGGGAGTAGAGGAGCCAGGTGAGCAACACTGATGAAGTTTACGTTCGAAATATGCTTTAAACACTTGATTCCTTATGTATAGACATGCATTCAATCAAATGCTGTACTGTAACTAATGGATGCCAACTTACAGCGCCTAAAATACCAGTTGCTTCCTACATACAGTACTTCATCTGACCCAGACATATTTGAAACGAAACTCTCTCGAAATCTCCTATCCCTTTTACCGTATAGCCTCCACCAGGCCTTTCTGTGGGAATACGGATCGTAGAATTCGGCAAAAAAGATAGCAAAATTGGCCAAGGGAGTCCGGCCGCGGGGAGGTAGTTTCTTTCCCTCCCTTCTTTCACTGCGCGGCCTGTCAAACCTACAAGGCGGCCAAACTCCCCTGGAAAATATTCTCCTTTATATAGCCAGCGTAGTTAGTCTGGTAGAGACTATTTAGCGTATACGTAAGATGAAAAATACATGTAGTTGAGACACCGAGAATAGAGTTAAATACAGTCAAATATAATCAAATTCAGAGCATCGACAACATTGCAGTTACGTGGTTCTTGATTATTCCAGAAACAAATAAAAACATTTTCACAGTTTTGAAATGATTATGAAATTCTCGATGTTTCCTTCTACAGTTCCAGGTCTGGAAGACCAGACTGGCAGCCAACCTACAGACTCACAAGCAGCTGCAGGCAGACCTGTCTCCGATCAGGTAAGTGGTAGTATTTTTGCTTTGTTGTTTAAGGATTAACTTAACTGTGACAAAAACACTTCATTGCTATCTCAGTTTGGCGGACATCATTGAGGGACTGACTTCTTTGTGGAGGCAGTGGCTAATGAATAGTAATAACTTTTATTGTACATTCATATACATGCCCTATCGGGCTAAGTACAGGTAAACAGATGGAATAAAAGATATGTGCATGTTTGTAGTACAAACAGCTCTAAAACTACACTAATACAGAGGTTCGGCTTGTTCTCGTTTTTTTGTGATGTTAAAGATATAATTTGAAATGGGTTTGTTTGATACAGGATGATTAAAGCGCATAACAAAGATACATTTGTCAATATTAGTCAGGGATTGAAAGTAAGGAAACGTTCGTCTAACATATCTGGCAACTTCTTTGCTCCAAAGGTGTTTGGTTAACGTTGTGCCTTCCTGTTTCGATGCTGAGTTTATGACAGCTGATTCGTAGTTTGGTGATGGCGGTTCTTTCGTTCGGGATTTTAACTTTAAGATAAATGATATAAGTGGGTTAACTTTGTGACTCCTAGATGGTAAAAGCTAAGGGAGGTTGTGGTAACTGTTTCAAAAAGCCTGTTTCTTTCAGGCTCATATATGAGAATCATTACAAAAGGAATGTACAAAGTTTTCATTTTCCATGCATTCATTCTACAATACTTGCACAATCTCTGAACGGTGGCTTTTTATAACGCCCATTTTCTATCTCTAGATTCTTCTGTTACAAACTTGACCGTTTTTCAAAATTATTATGGTATAGATATGAATAACTTGCATGTACACTTGTGCATATGACAGTCGCATACACACATATTTCCTATCTACCCTAGAGTTATTGGAATTCTATGGGCAAGAATAACCATTATCATCAAATATTTCTTTGACATGATGAAGCCTTTTTTCGTACAACAGTTGACTTGTGTTATTAGTGCTTTGTTATGAATGGTCTTTTGTTAACTCCTTTGGTAGCCTTTCCCTTTCGTTTTTGAATTCCATGCTATTAGTGATACTCTGTAGAGGTGATACATGACTTTTGTACATGTAGTTATAGTCAGTTCACAGCAGCCTACACAATACCAATGGGATACACCTTTTCCCATAAAATACACAATACAGCTCTTGTTACACTTACATGAGATGCGACACACATTGACGACTTTATATTGTGGCTTATAGCTAACTATATTATTCGAAAGACCCAAACACACATATCCAATCTGACTTTATAATAGCGATATGGAAAACTTTCTTGCACAACGCTTGGCACCTACTGATATATGACAAACGTGATTTAGACTTATCTACCTTTAACGACATTATGTATTATGGGATGACAATGTGCTTTTACCATATCATTGTTTGAGTTTCTATATCGTTTATACATTTTAGACATCAGATATTGTCCTATGTCATGTACAATACAGGGTTGTGTGTGATATGTAACCAAACTTTCACAGAACGTGACGTGTGACGTCACAAACAGACGTCCAGGTGACCTGAATGACCTGGCGTCTCACGATGGAGACACAGGAAGCGGATCTCACAAAACCTCTACTGGAGCGAGCGAGAAGTCTCCTCCCAAGCCCACATCACCAGAAGAGCGGGAGGCTAGTCCTCAGACCACGCCACCGCTCGTTGTACCGCCCGCGGCTGGTCCAAGCTCCGTCCCGCAAGAGGGCGACGACAGCAGGATCGTCTTGAGGCTACGTCGCAAGTCGTCTTCAACTGACGAAGGAGGTGACCGCGACTGCCCGGTAGGGTTCGAGAGGAGCGACGAGTACGAAGTCATCACTGACACGGAGAGCTCGTCCGAATCTCGCAGGTCGAAGTACAGAGAGGATGTAAAAAGGCGCCGTTGGGCGCAGTGGAGCGCAAACCGCAAGAGATCGGCGCTGTACACCGATAGTGAGGAGTCAGAGAGCGCTACGGACGTAGCGACACAAAGAGCGGACTCACCAGCACCTGCCCAACAGCAACCTCGCAGGTCGAAGAACAGAGAGAAGAGCTCGTCCGAATCTCGTAGGTCGAAGTACAAAGAGGATGTAACAAGGCGCCGTCGGGCGCAGTGGAGTGAAAACCGCAAGAGATCGGTGCTGTACACCGACAGTGAGGAGTCAGAGAGCGCTACGGACGTAGCGGCACCAAGAGCGGACACGCCTCCACGTGCACCCACCCAACAGCAACATCACGGGTCAAAGAACAGAGAGAAGAGCTCGTCCGAGTCTCGCAGGTCGAAGTACAAAGATGATGTAAAAAGGCGGCGTCGGGCGCAGTGGAGTGAAAACCGCAAGAGATCGGTGCTGTACACCGATAGTGAGGAGTCAGAGAGCGCTACGGACGTAGCGACACCACCCGCCCAACAGCAACATCACGGGTCGAAGCACAGAGAGGATCTAAAAGGGCGCCGCACGGCAAAACGGAGCCAAAGCGCCGAGCGATCAAAGCTGTACACCGATAGTGAGGAGTCAGAGAGTGCCACGGAAGCAGCGACACCAAGAGCTGACTCTCCGGCACCCGCCCAACAGCAAGATCGTAGGTCGAAGTACAGAGAGGATCAAAAAAGGCGCCGTCAGGCGCACTGGAGCGCAAACCGCCAGAGATCGGCGCTGTACACCGATGATAGTGAGGAGTCAGAGAGCGCTACGGACGTAGCGACACCAAGACCGGACACGCCACCACCCGCTCATCAGCAACAGCGCGAGAAGAGGAAGACATACAAGGGAGCAAACTCCCCTCAGACTGCCGAAGAAGCTCGCAGACGTAAGGCTAGGGGGAAGACGCCGGTAGACCCAGAAACACCTTGGCGCAACAAGTGGTACTGGAAGACCTCGGACGAGGATGACGAGTCCCACAGTGAGGGTTCCTGGAGTAACAGTGGCTACGAGACGCCGGTCAACAAGTGGGACCGACCGACTCGATCACTACGGTACAACGGTGGCGGGACGTGGAGTACCACCGCGTACGGCAAAACAGCCACGGAGCTCATCAGGTCCCCGCCGCCAAGCCCACCCACGCCTCCCGTACCGCGGTTCTTGACGCGCCCGCAGTCAGAACCGAGTCCGCCTCCCCCAGACAGCCCGAGATCTCCCCGCCATCCAGACTATCCGATCCGCCACGGTATCGGGAATTCGACCCAGCCGATGTCTTTCTACAGGGCGCCCAGCCCTGTGTTAGGCTTCGCGGGACCCGAGGGAGGAGAGCTGCCGTCTACGTCCAGCTACCCAGACTGCCAGATCGGCAAGTTCGAAGGCTTTTCAGAAGAGAAGTCAGACGAAGAACAGACGCCAAAGAGAGTCAAAAGCGTCATCAAGAAGGCCAGGAAGAAGAGGAAGCCGAAAAAGAGGTTAAAGAAGGGAGAAAAAGCTCCGGAGTATATCTTCAAGAAGTCAATATTCGTTGGGCATGGGCATGGCATTCGGTGGTTGGCGAACGCCACGTATACAAAGCTATGCTCTTGCTCGACAGTTCGGAAACCCGAAGACGACCAACCGACGCGCGTGTATGCTCCATGGACGCCGCCACACACAAGCTCCAGGCCGCTAGACTCCGGAGAGCCAAATGAGGAAGTGACAGGGGCTGCTACTCTTCCCGCAACCAACCTCGCCAGTCCTGGCCACGATGGTGAAGGGGACGACAGGAAAGAGCAAACAGCAAGCACGACATCGCAGTCTCCATGCGACTTGGACGGATCCGACCATCCTACAGAAGGATCACCAGTGCAACCTAGTTTGTTGCCCTCTACTGATGTGAATAATGCTGTATCGCCAGCATGGATTGAAGCCCCTGCAATTGTCGTTTATTACGGCCCTCTGCCACAAGCCATTGACGAGTTTGACTTTGAGTCCGGCCAAGGGGACGACAGAAAAGAGCATGCAACTACGACACCGCCTCCATGCGACTCAGATAAAGAAGACCGTCCTAGCGAAGAATCCCTAGTGTACCACACTCCTGTACCCACTGCTGCTGTGAGTAACGCCGTATCACCAGCAATGGGTGAGGCTTCTGCAAATTCCGTTATCGGTCCTCTGCCTCAAGCTGTCGACGAGTGTGAGTCCGGCCAAAGGGACGACAGAAAAGAGCATACAGCTACGACACCGTCTCCATGCGACTCAGACAAAGAAGATCGCCCTAACGAAGAATCCCCAGTGAACCACACTTCGTTGTCTTCTGCTGCTTCCCTTAACAACACGTCACCAGCACGTGCTGAAGCGTCTTCAAACGTCGATACAAATGGTCTTATATCACAAGCTATCGACGCCTGTGAGTCCGGCCAAGGGGACAGAAAGGAGCATACAGCTACGGCACCAACTCCATGCGAATCCCAAGTGAACCACACTTCTCGTCCTTCTGCTGCAGCCCCTAACACCGCGTCGCCAGCACGGAATGAAGCCTCTACAAACGCACGGGTGACAAACGTCGATACAGATGGTCCTCTGCCGCAAGATGTCGAGTCCGGCCAAGGGGACGTCAGAAAAGAGCATGAGGCCACCACGGCGTCTCCGTGCGACGCAGTCAAAGTCGATCGTCCTGACGAAGGCGGCTTGCCAGTGTCCACTTCTTTACCATCCGCTGCTGCCACTAACAACACCTCGCCAGCACGGAATGAATCCTCTACAAACGTCGATACAGATGGTTCACAAGCTGTCGACGCGTATGAGTCAAGCCAAGAGGACGACAGAAAAGACCATACAGCCACGACACCGCCTCCGTGCTACTCAGATAAAGTCGAGCGTCCTAACGAAGGCTTGCCGGTGTCCACTTCTCTACCATCTGCTGCTGTCCCTACCAACACGTCGCCAGCACGGAATGAAGCCTCTACAACCACCATTACAGATGGTCCACAAGCGTGTGATTCCGACCAAGGGGACGTCAGAAAAGAGGATACAGCCACTACACCGCCGCCATGCGATAGTCCTAACGACGAATCATCAGTACGCCACACTCCGGATTCGTTTTCTCCTGCTACTGTGAATAACGCCACGTCGCCAGCACGGATTGAAACGTCTGAATACGTCGTTAAAGATGGTTCTCTGCCGCAAGATGGTGAGGCGTGTGACTCCGGCATAGACAGCGACGGAAATGACCATACACCAACACCAACACCATCTCCACGCGACTCAGACAAAGCCGATCGTCCCGACGACAGGAAAGAGCATACAGCTAGGACACCGCCTCCATGCGATTCAGATAAAGAAGATCGTCCCAACGAAGCATCATCTCCAGTGCACCACACTCAGTCTTTACCATATTCTGCTATCCGGCCTGACACCACGACGCCAGCACGTGCTGAAGCCCCTGCAACAGTCGTTGCATACGGTCCCCTGCCGCAAGCCACCGACACGTGCGAGTCACAGGCAGCCTGGGAAACAAGCGGCAAGACACCGTCAGCTCCGCATACACCGGTGCTGGACCCCTGGTCGGAGACCTCCTCTAGTAGCGAGCCGACAGACGCCCTCGGGCTCTGGTACAAGAAGTATCTCACTCAGAACGAGCCTCCACCAAACCCGGTGGTAATTCCGACAGCCACCACCGAGTTTCTATCAGATGTTAGCAACCATAACTCTGATAGGAGTAGCGAAACCAGCCAGCCATTCTCGAGTCAAATCCCACTACCATTTAAATGGTCGGCATCCCCAAAAAGCGACAGTTCTTCTGATGGAAGCGCCACGTCTGGAAGCGACAGTGCAAGCCATGACAGCCAGATGTGTAAGAAGAAACGCAAGCATGATGAGAGTGAAGAATCGTCTGACTGGTCTTTATATCCCAACCCTCCAAGCAGTGATGAGGACAGGAGTAGCAGCACGGGGCCAAGCTTTGGCAGTTCCTCCTCTCCCAAACGAGGACACAATAGAAGACGTCACGACAACACATCGGGGCGCAGTCAGGTCACGGCGTCGGCCTACGTTACTTTAGATGATGACAGCAACACAAGAGCGTCCCATATATCTGAAGGAAGTCGCCACCACAGCGGTACCGGTAGTGAGACAAGTGGTTACAGAGGCGAGACCAGCAGGGGTTTGAAGAGGAAGACGGACGGCAGCTTGCCGACTTCAAAGAGATTTAAGAGGGATGGCAGCAAGAATGTCAGCGGTAGGAGTAGGTCTGACGATAGCAGTAGCAGCCACAGCGATGTGAGGAAACAGCAGGGTAGAGGAAAGAGCAGGGGCGGTAGCAACGTTAACAAGGACAGCAGAAACCAGAGCCATAGCAGCAACAGCAACCACAGCCATAACAGCAACAGCCGAATCAGCAGCAACCACAGCAACACAAATGACAGCACCAACAACTCCACGTCAGCCTTTGGCTGAATCACACACATCATCTCGGGGGGCTTCCAGCGTCAGCTTCGATAGTCACAGCAGCAGTAACGGCAAATTGGACTTCAACTGCCGTTATTTCTCTTGTGACTTGAGAAGAAAATACGAGAAACACAACCATATCAGTGAACACAGCGGTGCAAATTCAAGAATTAGGATTCTTTGTAACACAGGATAGTACTGATATCCCTATGGATATATGGTGTACACCGGTGCTAGGTGGGCTATAGGACAACCGTTGAACAATGTGGAACACAACACATCCTTATTGAAGACACAACCAATCCGTCAGAAAAGTCAAGAACTGTTCCTTGTATCTCAAACCTGTTGATGGCGAAATCGGCCTGACAGGAAGGATCCGTACCAAGCGACACAACATGGTGATTGTTATTGAAGCCTCGTCCGTTCTCAGAAAATACTGTTCCTTGTATCTCAAAATCGTGCCAAGCTGTCTGTCTCAAGATGTAGTGAAGGAAGCAAAGGAGGAGAAAGATGTTGAAGAGCAAAAATTTTCAACGAAAGGCAGTGCTGCTATCCCGATGTATATATTTGATGTTCGACGGTCCTAGTGGGCTCCATGACAACCGTGGGACAATGTAACAAAGTGAGTTCTCATTGAAGACTCGATTTTTCACAAAAAAAGAAAAGAAAAGAAAAAAAGAAGGTATGTGTCTGGCATCTCAAATCACCTGTTGATGCAAATTAGACTTGACAGGAATGATGCATGATATGGTGGACTGCAGGAGAACAAAAATATTCAACACAACGCATCAAAATTTTATGGAAGAGTTAACGAAAACGTTCAATACTGTTTCTGTTGTCTTGAATTACCTGTTGATGGCGAAACGTACGGCCTGACAGGAATTATTCGTCCCAAACTGTCTGTTTCAAGTTGTGGTGAAGGAAGCAAAGGAGGAGAGAGATGTGGATGAGTAAGGAATTCAAATATTTACCCTCTTGGGAGGATCAAAGAGTGACGACATATCACAAGAGGAAATTGTTAAGAAGAAGCAGTGACATCTAATCGGACGCAAAGGAGGAGAGAGATGTTGAGTAAGGATTTTAGCCTCTTGGGAGGATCAAAGATTGACGATATCGTCACAAGAGGAAATTTCTAAGAAGAAGCAGTGACATCTAATCGGACTAAGTGTGGATGTATATGTAAAATATGCACCTCAAAAACTTATTCTGCAAGACAAGACGTGGAACAGAGTTCGACATGTGCCTGGTTAATCTAAAATCGAGCTAGCAAATAAAGATGGACCAAGGACCCAAAACGAGGACTCTGGACCAGGGACAAAATGCAGCTGCCGTTGCAACAAGTGCTGGTGTCCAACTGAGGGGAGACCCAATCCTGTGGTAAGAGATTTACAATATTTTCTAGTTGCAATGAAGTAGGAGGAGGTGACCTGTATAGCAAAAGCAGGTTGATTGTATCACAGTGTTTGAATTTATGTAAGCGCTTAATTACAAAACTGGTTGCAAAAATTATGTTTTGCCATTCTTAAGATGTTATAACACCCTGTATAGGTACGATTTGGGGGTTTCTCGTGCAACGCATCACACCGCAGCGAAACGCAACGAATGCGGAAGTAACTATGCCCCTGCAGGGCAAAAAATGTGGGGGTCTATGATCTAATTAAGACATGTCAGCAGGACAAGGGTTAAGCAGATTTTTTCAGATAAAGATATCTGATTTTATCTTTTACACTACATGCGTGTCTAACATGCCTTCTATTAAAAGGTTAATGATTAACCAACTCGTTATGTTAATATAAAGCACTACGGGAGTCCAAAGGGGATATACCAGAGGTCACAGAACAATTAGCAACTGGCGACTGTCAGTGACAATCTACCTGGAGAAGACGGTCATCGTAACATGGCGGCCACAGGTAAGGTCTTAACAATGGCTATTCAGTCTCTTGTAAATGAAAAGATGTCATATTGACTTATGATATTTGTGCAAAATGCGAAGGGCAAAGGGTGACACTTAAACATGTTATGTCCAATGGAAGTTCTTATGTCCAATGGAAATTCTTCAAAATAGCTCACAACATTGTTGCAATCAACAGTCAAACTAGCAGTTTTTTTTTGCAGTCCACACAGGGGCGTACCCGAGGGAGTCATTCACTTAAATACTGGCCTATAAACACACGCACAGACACCTACAGATTTTCTTTTTTCCCTCGCACTATTCCACAGTGGCCTTGCCTTCCGTCCCTCCATAACCATAACAGCACCCATCGCGGGGTTATTTGGGGGTACTTAAGATGAAGATAAAGATAAAGGGAGGGCGCAGAATGTAATGAACAGTGGACATACAAGTGTACATGTATCTCTTAACGTTGCTAGTCTCGCCATTTAACGTTGCATTGTTCCCATCCTCATGTTTCTGTTTTATGTTATATATTTACATCATTGAAACAAGGACAAGGCAGATTACATTTAGGACGAATCGAAGATGAGAAACACTTTGTAACAGAATGTAAACTACATAACAGAGAGTAGATCTATATGTAAAACTGACCAATGCGTTGCTATTGTTCTACAGTGTACAGGCACACGCAGGGTGAGTTCAAAGTCAGCGAGCAAATGAAGGCGGACTTCGACCGTGACGGCTTCATAATAGTTCGGTGAGACCATGTTCTAGCACTTGAAGTAATGTTTCATAGCATACGATGCACATCTAGATACCTTAAACATCTGTAATCTACCTTTTGTGGTGTAATCTACCTTTATTCTTTGTGTTTGAAGTTCGGGATTTAAACGGCTCTATATGTGTAGTAGTGTAGAACACATACATGTATATTCCGGTACAAGATTTCACGGTAAGATGTCATCGCGAAAATTAAACCACTGCGAACATTTCTCGACATACAGTGCACTTTTACGAGACGCATTTCTTACAAAGATCTGTACCCTCAGAGTAGAATGAACTGGGCAAAAGAGAGAACTGCGAGTGCAAATCTCCGGTATAACCACCTTTCGGCGTAACACACGAGCTTCGCAGGCACGCGGCGCGGCGGCAGCTGGCTACATTATACCGATCGACTTGTTACACCTAACCCTTGAACATCTAACTCTAGACATTGTTTAAAATCTATCTAATGATAATGCCCCTACTGTACTTGGTGACAGCAAGTTCCACTCTGCGATAGTTCTAGAATGAATTCTTGAACACCTCAATTCTTGGTTGATAACTCTGGTACCTGAAGGCATGGCTATTTCTTCATCTCCCACACACAGCAACCTGTTAGACGAAGAAGAGGTGGAAAAGTTGAGCAAGACGATCGACCACGGCGGCCTGCTGGAGCAGGCGTTCCATCAGGATGACGGGGGAGGTCTGAAAACGACCATGATACAGTGGAAACATCCGGGGTCTGACGTGTCCGGCATCATTGCGCGCAGCAAGAAACTGGCGGGAACTTTTGAAAAGGTACACAAAATTTATCATGAGAAACTTTAAACTGACCTCCAACTTAAAGTATTGTTGAAATTTTTGACTCGGTCTTTCTCAGCTTTCTGCCCGAAATTACGTAGTTTTGTTCCCGTGTGACGTCAGCAACGGGTCAAAGTTCATCGGAAGCCGATGTCGCCCTCCCCGTCACGAAAAGAAGGTTGTACCTTGATGTAAATGGTCCCCTTTACTCTTCTGTGTCCGATTCAAACTTGTAAACAGAATGCGCTGTGAACATGGCATTTTATCTGTCTGATGTACACATTAGTATCTGTGAGGATGTCAAATACTGGTAAATTATTGGTATCACCAATGTTTAAGAAGACTTTTAAAGGTTTTCAATAACCTTTGTTTGACAGCTGCTTGGTGGAGAGGTGTATCATTACAGCGGTAAAATTAACATGAAGGAGGCTCATTCTGGGGGACAGCATCTATGGCACCAGGACTACGGGTGAGCAAAACTTCCATCCCTTTAACCGAAAGAAAATTTATAATATAATTTCTATTTATTTATTTCATCATAAGACGGATGGTTTGCCCCTTAAACTTATAAAAGTTGATTTCCAAAGAGGAGGGGGCAGCATATACACGACAAGACATGTTACATTCGGCCAGAAAACAAAAGTAGAAAACATTCGGAAGAAACAAATAAAATCTGATATGTCAAAACAAAATCATTGTCCATAACTCAATGAACCTCTTAATAATGAATATTGAATTTCAAAGTTTTTCCTGGTGAGCTGTAGCTGCCAAGATCTTTACAATTTGTGAAGCAAAAAAAGGAAGAAGAATAGTGTTACATCAAAAACTATTCAGTGTATCTTCGTTGCTTGTTGTGTCGTCTACCAAAGGTACTGGTACAACAACGGTCTTCTGTATCCCGACATGGCGACTGTTTACATAGCCGTGGACAAGGCTGACAAAACCAACGGTTGTCTGCAGGTACAGACGGAAAGTCCTTAATTCATGGGCACAAATCAAATCCTAATCCTTCATCTTTCAACCAGCAAGCAAGCATGCGCACTGTCTTGAATAATGGTAAAAGGATATAACTGTAATTCAATAACAGCATAAAGTTTACGTTGATATCTAGATTAAAAGAGATTAATAGATTTTCCAGATGTTGTCTTTTGCTTACGATGAAATTTTACGTAAATGGATATAGGCATGCTTAACCGCTAGAGAAAATCATGTTGAGAATGGTTATCAAAGCCAGCAAACGCTAGCAAGAAAAGTCCTGGTTTGCTAGTGCCAAGAATAAGCATATTGTCTCCGACCTTTTTAGAAATATTTTTTTTAAGATCTGAAAAATGAATACTTTTTTCTCACATCCTAAGGTTGACATTGTCAGCTACTAAGGCTCAATTGGACACTTGTATATGTAGCCCCATTCCCAATAAGGTAAAATTGTGTCTCTTGATTTGAGTTGATTTGCTTCGATCCGGATCGAGCCGACTTCGAGCTGGATCGAAGCCGGGTCAAAGCGAATCAATTCGGCTCGATCCGGACAATTTTATCATAGTGGGAAAGGGGCCTATGATTATGATAGAGATAAACATGTATGACAGTGAAGAAATGACACCTGCTGTTCCCATGGTTCCCCAGGTGCTCCGAGGGTCTCACCTGGCCGGGCGGGTGGAACACAAGCGGGTTGCCGGGGAGACAGGCGCGGATGACGAGAGAGTCGAACAACTAAAAAAGGTAAACACCAGTTTAATCTTCGTACAGAAGAGCCACAAGTAATTACTTGTATTTACTTACTTTCTGTAGATGACGATTAATCAATTTGAACCAATCATCTAACAACTAACATATTTCGCACCACAATCATCCCACCGTTTCTGTTGGATGTTTTGACGAATTTGCATCAGAAGTTTGTACGTTTCAAACGTTTTCTTTTTTGACACAGCATTGGAAATTACAGACGGGATATCATCCTTATATACGCCACCTTTTGAAAAAAAAACCCGATACGTTACATCTGAGGAAGTGTTATGCACATGTTCTAGATTTCGCGAGGATGCAGTTCGTTCAGCCGACGTGTTAGTCATCCCTCAGTAAGACAGCTAGAGCCACATGCATGCTGGCAAGGTTCTTTGCACACAACCGGAAGATAATGAATGAAAGAATGAATGAATGAAGAATTTATTGTAACGTAATACACACTGGGTTAATCACAGGTCACAACAGAATAATAGAATACAGACAACGTTGCGTATATACACTGTTAAGTAACTTCAACTAAAAGAAGAGAATTCGACTTCTTCTCGCTTCTTAGTAAAGGTAAGAACAGATATGATAATTATCATAAGAACCTGTGTGTTGTTTTACCAGGTACTGGAGCACGTGTACGTAGAGTTGGACCCGGGTGATGCTGTGTTGTTCCACTGTAACGTCCTGCACCGCAGCGACCAGAACAGGTCTGACCGCCGGCGGAGGGCGTACCTTATCTCCTATAACAGGGCATCGAACAACCCCGTGTATGAACACTACAACGCCTCGTATGTGCCGCTGGAGATGGTGAGTACCATTCTGTCTGGCCTGACACACATAAATATGCAAATTCATTTCATTCATTCTTTTTAGTATACTTGAAATTGTATTACGTTAAATTATTGTTAGTCATTTTGTAAATATGATTTTATTTTTTATCTCTAAGTTCCCTAAGACTGAACCTTTTGTTATTGCTTTTTATTGATCATTTGATGTTGATAATTTATATTTGGTGTTCCCCCAGGGCACATTGACAAACGTCAGTAGGCAATATGTTTCCCCTGGTAAACAAACAAACAAATCGCTTTGCAGCAACAAACAAGATGCTTATTCTTATGTAATATAGCAATGTACAACTTGATAATAATCCTTTTCTGTAATGAAATCTCTCTTAAGAAACAACAAGATGTGTGCAAAAAACAGGAAAAGATTGGACGTCAGATTTTTGACATTTGTGATTGACATGTGTTCATCAGGTAGATGACGCCGAGATCAAGAGGTGCGAGAACCACTCCGACTTCTCGGGGAAGGACTTCGTCGACCCCGCCGATAACAAAAACATCTCCGGCACGAGAGTCGGAAAGCACTGAGAAAATCCAAGCTGCAAAAAAAATTGTGATGCCTTTGCCACTATGCTTCCCAGTGATGCAATCCGTTGGTACAAAAGATTGGAATTTCTGCCAGCTGACAGCTGTGTTTCAAGCTTTTAACACACTTGTCAAGTGCACTTATACAATTCCTGAATGACGCATATTTAAAATGGAGTAGGTTAATTCAACTTACTGTAAGAAGTAACAAGAAAATCTGCTGTACTAGAGTCGGGGAGCATTATTGACAGAGGAAATCAAATAAAAAGAAGCGAAGGACAGTGGGACATGAAATTTTATTTAAAAAATGTTAAAAATTGAACTCATTATTGATGGTGAGTACAATAAACGCAATGTGATGTCTCACTTTCAATGGCTTCTGAGTTTTTATTGTGACCGTCTCTTATACATTTTTTACCCCTCGCAAATAATGTCTACTTTGTAACTGTTTTTAAAAACCCACGTAAAGGTTAGGCCATGTTGATTTGATTATATGAATGACATCCGGCCGTTTCCAAAAAAAAAGTTTTGAACCATTCTGTAAATTGTACAAAACAGTTGCAAAATTGAAGTTGAAAAAACATTGGAAAACAACACCAATGCCGTAGAACGCAAAAATTAAACGAAAAAGATCGACGAAAATGTAAAGAAATGAATTTGAAGACTAGATTATTCGCCAAACCATGGTCTGTGTCATTTGTTCATAATGAAAGCAACTTTTTTTTTGCCAAACTTTTTTTATTCACACGCTCGCATCAGTTTCGGGGTTCCAAGATGATGTCATCCATATAATCAAATTAACATGGCCTTATGGTTCCGGGTCGGAGTTTAATTCTGACCAGAGTCTAAGTAAGTGCGCAGTAAATCGCCGGAAACGTGACTTTGTATGGTATGTTTTGGCCGCGATATCCCTGAAATCGTAATATCTGTGTACATATCTTTGTATTTTCTGAAAAGCCTGTTAGTTGTAGCCTTTATAGGTGGCGTAATGTTGGTGGTCCAGCTAAGACTTCCTGGTATTCGTCCGCGCGGATGGTTATGTGGCCTTTTCGCCTGACCGCCGGGATGGTACGTTCTATATGCGTTCTGGGTGTGTTCGGGCCATCGAAGATAGCGATAAACTTATCGCATCGATTTTAATTAAATTCAAATTTTGGAAACATTAGGTTCTGAGCTTCTTCGAGTACTAAGCCGTTACCCTGGAAAAATTCGATTTTTCCATGCAGCCATGGTTAAAAATGACGAAAAAAATGACCCCTTTTTTCAAAATGTACTTTGATGTGCCTCATTTACCCCTAAATAAATTGGGCGCAGAAAATATCAATCAAGTGTATTGATAAGCGGCACGGCACCCCTTTCCACCAAAAGAGTGAAAAATTCCGACCCGCGTTTAGTACAGAAATGACAGCCCGTCGGGCTGAGGGTGTCAAATTGCTCGAAATACGGAGGGAAACTCCGGTCCGAGACCTTATGTTGTTGGACAGGCTAAGGCTCGGGCTGGAACACCTGAATGACGTATGTTGTTGGACGGGGTCAAAGGTGAGGGAAACTTGTAGTAAAACCGGTACACTCAAATTGCGATCAAGTCATAGGTAAGTTTGTAATTTATATTTAGGAAGACGTACATGTAAATATGGGTTCGTTCATATACGCCGTACGATCGTAGAACGATCGCTGGTATTTTTATCAAGTCCCCGGGTTACGTATAGCTTAATATTACGCCCCGAACACTGCCGACTTCCCCCCAACCATGGTTGGGAGTAGGTCGGGAGCAAGGTCGGCTGTGGTGTTCGGCAAGGTTGGCTATTGTTCGGCTGCGCCAACCGAATGTTTCAAAATGTTTAGAACATTCGGGTATTGAATGGAGGTTGGACAAGGTTGGGGACTAGTCGGCTGGTGGTTGAGAGTAGGTCGGCAATGGTGTGGCGTGTTTGGTAGTAACGTTTGACTAAAAATGCATTAATTCAATTAATGGCGACCTTCTAGGAGATTAACCTAAGATCACGTGACACGGAACTGTCTGTTTTCCTCATGAACAAGCAAAACATGTTTATCACCTCGTGCGTGTGTCAGCTTGTCAGACAAACAAGCTTAAGCCATCCCTTGCAGATCCAATGTGACAAACCCCTATATTCAAGTGTATTAGTCCCAAAGTAGCCCGCACCATGGCACCAACACGTTGGGGAATCGTGAGCGCTGGAAACATCAGCAATGACTTCAAGGTTGCTCTGGATACTCTGCCAAAGGATGAACATGAGGTAAGCTTTACGTGTTTTACTCACTGCCTTCAACAATTACTGTAGATTATTTGTCTCTGATTATCTTAGAAAAGGTCGTTATAATTGTAAAATAAAGGCAAAGATAGTCCTTTATATCTATGCCGCAGGGGCCTTGGGTTGTTGTTTGACTGCGTCTACTGATTTAAGTGCCTTTCCCAAGGACACTACGTCTAGCTATGCAACTGTGGTACATGTAGTTACAATTTTACTGGTAGTAGAGGTTGGCTGAGGGGAGGGCTTTTGAGGCAGATCTTTCAAATTCGTATCTAGATCTAGGAATTACTGTACTATTTTCATTTTAGCGTTGTTCTTGTTAAGTAGATTATTCACAGCAATTTGGTTTCCATTTGATGTTGGTTAGGTGGTGGCTGTTGCAGCTAGAAGCCTTGAGAGGGCTGAGCAGTTTGCGAAAACTCACAACATCCCGTCTTACTATGGATCGTATGCCGAGCTGGCAGCCCAAGGACATAGGTAAATAAGTGGGAGATAGACAAGGATATAGAGAGAGAAGGAGTGAGAGAGAGAGAGAGGGAAAAAGATTGAGAGAGAGGGGCAGACAGACAGACACAGACTCTGACAAAAAGAGAAAGCGAAAGAGTACAAAATGTGAAAACTCTCTTTCGTAGTCTTCTTGATGCCAGATCCATATCACGATACCAATCCTACGCTGTTTTATCCAGCCGACGTTTTGGTGACCGTCTGTCACCTTCCTCAGGGCAATTCTGACTGGTTCACATTGCACTGCAGCACAGGTGTCGCTGCTATAGATGCGTTCCCAAACGTAAAATACTGACATCTACACGGTTGCAGGGGAAGGTAACAGAAGGTCTAAAAAGAGTCTCATTGTCTTCGTCAGAAGGACTATGAAATTGTCTCGCCGGAGTGTGGGGAACTGCGGATTTTGCGATATAACTCTGGAAGGCATGATTCGACGTCCATGATTTTTGGCAGGCAGATTACCGCTGTTGAGGCCGAAGTGAAGTACAAGTTTCGGCTTCGTGGGGGGTCCGTGTGTCACGTTAGTGCACCTTTTGTGTTTGTGGCTTGTTAGCAAGATAACTCAAGTATTTGTAAAATGTTGATCATAATTCTTGGTGTGGTGCTTACTATTGTCGGGACCAAGGTTAAGTTCGTTATTGAGCTCCGTGGGGGGTTTCGTTGTGACTACAGGGGGCATTTTGTTAATTTTTCTTGTGAGCAGGATAACTTTTGTATGTGTGGATGGAAGTTAATGAAATTTGATAGGCATGTTACTGTGGTGGTCTCCAAGATTGAGTTCAAAGATGAGAGTCGTGGAGGTCATTATGTCCCCGTAATAGGACCTTTTGTGTTTAGAAATCCCCCACCTACATCTGCTTGGAGACAGCCGACAGCTGGATATAGCCGGGGAACCCCATAATGGGATGGGATCAAATGACGTTACATTGAGGGATTGTACTATAACTTCAGCAGGGGGAGGATAGGTTGGACATATGTCAGGTTATTTTCTACGGCCACACCAAGTAATTGCTATGGATGACGTCCACTGAAGACCTTAAATCTAATTACCTTAAATTTAAGGCAAGCGCGCAATAAAATCACGAAGGGCCGAAAAACGAGATGCCTAGATTTGGAATATACTAACTGTAGAAGTACAAATGTTAGGACACTAAGAACACAAGAAACAAGTCTTCTATTTGTCATAAAGACAAATTAACAAAACAGCAGTAGTCGCCCTGTTCTGATTCTTTCCTTTATAACATCTTCTCTTATTATATTTTGCGGCGCTGTCGTGACACTTTCAACACAGTAAGAATTTCTTGAAGGTTTTTTTTTCCAGTAACAGTCCAAACTCAAATAACGTAGGGGGGGGGGCTAACACGGGTGACGACGCATCTGTATAATCTGCGGCAAACCGTTTCAGGGTGTTCTGTACCATAAAAATAGTACAGAGATTCTTTTGCTCTTTAGACCAAATTGATTATTAAAGAGAGTGAAGAATACGCATATTTTTTTTCTAGAACGATGTACCTCTGACGAAGACATGAGATCTCCGACCTCTAGTTTTTCAGTGATTTAGCAACCTGATTAAACTATTTACGGTTGATTTTTCGTGTTAAAAAGAACCTTTATGATCTTTACCCTAGATGTGGTGTACATTGGTGCTACCCATCCCCAGCATGCACCAGTGACGACCATGATGCTCCGCGCGGGGAAGTCTGTCCTGTGTGAGAAGCCGATGTCTGTCAACTCTCGCGAGGCGCGTCACGTGATCAGCCTCGCCAAAGAGAAGAACCTCTTCTTTATGGAGGTAAACTTGATTACATAGATGGGGAGGCGCATAGTAAAAAAAAAAAGGTTAAATGAACATTATTTGAAAGGGAATTCAAAATCTGTTAATGAATGAAAGCCGTGCTGGCTACATATTTTAACGTCACTGTGGAATAGACTTGTTGGTTGGAAATGTTTCAGTTTGTAGTAGCTGGCAAAAGACGATGAAATATCTTTGTGAATAAAGAAACTATTTTTGCAGAACCAAGTGTTTCTTGGAGCCAACGTTTCGGTGACCGTCTGTCATCTTCCTCAGGGCAATTCTGACTGGTTCACATTGCACTACAGCACAGGTGTCGCTGTAATATGATGATGAAACTATTTAATCACGGACATGTTTTTGTGTTTTTGAAAGGCTATTTGGAGCCGCTTCTTTCCGGTGTATAAGAAAGTCCGCGAAGTCGTCGACTCGGGAGTGCTAGGGGAGGTGAAAATGATCACAGCTTCCTTCGGAATCAACTTTGACGGTGTCCCGAGATTTAAAGACAGGTCAGCTATCATGAATTGGATCAAACTATTACTAAGTATGTAACACCATGCACTTGTCAGTGTCGATGTGACGATATACTTTCATGATTATTGAAGTAAAAGAGCCTAGACAGGTACCAAAAAGAGGTTGTCCACCGGCGGATGAACCGATTAGCACCAAGGACAGACACTATGTGTGTGTATGCGCGCGCGCGCGCGTGTGCATGTTTGTGTACGTGTATGCGCGCGCGCGTGCGTGTGTGTGTGTGTGTTTGTGTGTTCGTGTGTGTGTGTCTCCGTGAACAGCATATATCTCGTGAAATTCTGCCTTGATTTTTACCCTACATGGTATGTGAATAGGTATAGGCAAAACAAAGGAAAATTTCAATAACGAATCCCCTAGTGGTACTGCAGCAGAGCATCCAGTTTTGCTTTCCTTCTCTACGAGAAAAAAAACAACAGACATCGCCACGCAATATTGGCTTTACTATACTGATACAGCCAATAATCCTTTCATCCTTAGGTCCCTGGCAGGCGGCTCGCTGATTGAGATAGGCATCTATCCGATCCAGTTCACCACCATGGTGTTTGGAGGGGAGGAACCTGAAGACATCACTGCCAGTGGGCATCTCATAGACACGGGTAGGCTGTGAGACGATTTTTTCTATGCATGATGCCAACATAGTATAGTAGCAGCTGTCACAATGGACGCTGGTGATAGCGCTGAGATGGGGCATCAGGCCAGGGGCATATATTAAACACTCCTGGGCTAGGTCATAGCATTTTGCCATTTCACCGTTTTTATTTGATCTCGTACATAAGTGACATATTTTGGGAACGATAAATATCATACAAGAATGAAGATTTCTTTATAATAATATTAACAGGAGTGGATGAGTCTGCCACTATCATCTTGAAGTACAGTAACAATAGAACAGCAGCGCTGACGTGCAGTATGTCTACAACACTGGCTCAAGAGGCTTATATCTACGGGACAAAGGCCTCTCTTAAGGTATGAGTTCAACAATTTTCTTCATTGTTTCTGTCATGTGCATATAAGAAACAAGAAATCAGAGATTTCAGAATTCTGGGAAGTATGCAATTCTCGGCTTCCTGATTTCCCCCCATGCCGACCTCTAATACCGGGCTAGATTCTAAAACGCGATATTGACCTGTCATTCTGCCTGTCAATCTTTCCCCACCACGCGTCCTCAACCCTCTCTTCCAGGAATAGCATATGCAACTCATCCACCCAAAATGATGCTTCCGTGCCAAAAGTCATTAATAGGTTACAAATGGCTTTATATAGATATACAGTACATGTTTTAAGTTAAAACTTTTGTTCCAACACAAGAGAGAAATGTTCTCACTCTGGTCTTCCTCAGAAGACTGACCCAGTGAGACCTGTCACGTGGCTTCTCCGAAGTGTGAAGTCAACACTATCAAAGCTATCCATAAGCGATGTTGACCCCCGTCGCGGTTGAGTGAAGGGTGATGGGCCCTGATGTAAATAGCCTCTCAGGAAATGGTCTTATTCGGTGTCCATTTCTGATTGTTGCACGCAACAGTTTGAACTTTAAACATGTAACTTCCAACACAGATGAACTTTCATGATAGTATACTAGTAGTATTTAACAACTTACAAGGGGCATAAAAACTGCAGTTTGTTTCGCCAAAAACAGTTACTCAAGCGACTGGATATGATTTTAAAAACGTCAGACGTTTCAGCTAGTATCCAATAGCTTTCGTCAGTGACTGAGAGACCAGAGGGGAAAGCAGGTTTATAAGCACAACCTGTTGATTGATATGCAAATGAAGTGAAGATATATCAATCAACAGGTTGTGCTTATAAACCTGCTTTCCCCTCTGGTCTCTCAGTCACTGACGAAAGCTAGTGGATACTAGCTGAAACGTCTGACGTTTTCAAAATCATATCCAGTCGCTTCAGTAACTGTTTTTTGGCGTATCGTATTACCTGGATGTCTAACCTTCATCGACGTATGCAGTTTGTTTCCTTTATAAACTTTTTCAGGTTCCAAATTTCTGGTGTCCTACCGAAGTGATTGCCCCAGACGGGACCCATGAGTTCCCCCTCCCTCCTCCGGGGAAACATCTCAACTATTTCCACAGTACAGGCCTGAGGTTTGAGGCTATGGAGGTCAGAAGATGCCTACAAGAAGGTCGGAAAATCTTTCTGTTAACTTTCTCCCTGCTTTCTCATAACCCTGGAGCCGATAAGTTTCGGTGCCGAAAGACTTCTTCAGCTGGATGAAGGTTAATGATTTGTCTGACTATTAGTAAAACAATAGGAAAACTAGAGTTCCACGATCTCGTTCCTTCGTCAAATGATAACCTTTACGACTGACGCATCATAAAAAGTTTGTCATTGGTCATGAGAATAAGATCACATTTTTCACATATCATATCATTTGACCATATCCTCATCCCAATATGGGTCTTGCCTTAACAAAGAAGGCCATTCTAGCCTTTCGTCATAGATTATGCAAATGAGGTCCTGATTTGAATAAGTTTTGTTGAATGATGTTCTCGGACTATGAAATTCCCAATACTAAACCAACTCTCCTATTGGCTGTAGGTTTAATCGAGAGTCCCCTGATGACCCACGCCATGAGCCTACAGATAGCCGGGATCCTGGACCGGGCACGGCAGGCGGTCGGAGTCGTGTACGACCAGGACATGGAATAAATCATTATGATAACAATAATGATACTAACAATATTATGGTGATTAACAAGTTTATTGAAAAAAAAAACTATAGCAGATGGCTATTGAATATGTATAGCATAAAAATGATCGTGATGAATATAGACTATTACCATTCCTATACTATCGTTATATCATAATATGTTTAGCTACATCTAGCAAAGTTGGGTCCAAGACTCCCTCTAGTATGGCAGTGGAAGGCCTAATGATTAACAGATCTAAATAATGATATTAACATCCTAATGTGTGAGGACAGCTAGCTAGCTAGCAACACATTTAACACAATATTAGCACATTTTATTTTTAAAGAAGACTGGCTGTAATATTCTAGAGAAAATATCATATACATGTCGCTCCTCGTCACTGATGAAGATTACGTAATGCTGAAACTTGAAATTTACAAGTAGTTACTTTGCACAGGTGATTTTACAGGTTACTTTCCATACATCGGTTAATATTGTTTAAATAAAGTTTGAGCATAATAGGAGAATGTAAACCTTCCTATATATGTTAATTTTCTTTGTTTCACGACATTTGCTGACGCACCAAGCTAACCCTGAGCAAAACCGATTTCAACACATCTCGGCATTAGTCTAGAATCAACTTACAATTGTTACATGTAGATCAGTGCAATACATTTTTCTAGGTCACAATTCCACCAACGTGACAGCTAATTGTAAAGGTTGGTTACTTATCTACAGAGATTTGTAGTTTACAAGAAGTTTGCAGAGATGATAGTCAAGTTTCTTATACATCAGTTAGTATTGTGTTACAACATTTGAGCACGAAACAATCTTTAATTTTTTTCACGTCGAGTAGTTCAAAGCAATAGCTGCAACTCAACATTAGCAAGCGACTTACAACAGTACATTTAAACATATTTCTACCAAGTCACAGTTTTACCACAGATAATTCTACAGGTTGGTTATTTATTTACAGAGATTAGTCAAGGTGGTAAGCACAACAACCACGTACAGCAATTTCAACATTTATGCACGACAAAAATCAATATCCATTACAATCAGGTCAATTTGTTTAAAGTTAAAACTTTTGGTCCAACACAAAAAATTCTCTCACCTAGAGCTTTTGACCAGTCACTCTGGTCTTCCTCAGTAGACTGACCCAGTGAAGCTTGTCACGTGGCTTCTTTGAAGTGTGACGTCAACACTGGGTCAAAGGTATCTGGGCCCATCACCCTTCATTGAACCGCGACGGGGGCCGACATCGTCTACCAGATACCTTTGACCCAGTGTTGACGTCACACTTCAAAGAAGCCACGTGACAAGCTTCACTGGGTCAGTCTACTGAGGAAGACCAGAGTGACTGGTCGAAAGCTCTAGGTGAGAGAATTTCTTGTGTTGGATCAAAACTTTAAACAATATTTAATAAACAGTTATAAAAACTGAAACTGTAGTGAAAAATTCAAATTACAAACAATTTTCATTCATGTATGTCCATTTTCATAAAAGCTAATCTGCAAGATGATTTAGTTTGAAAAGTAATGACTCAGAGTTGATTCTGTTGTCAACTTATTTGAGATGTCTGGACTGTATTTGCTTTGGACAAATCGTGACCTGAGAAATGGGTCAATTAAGGTGAGGTTGCATGGAACATGAATGTTCATTGAACCATAATAAATGGTGTCACAACCAGGTATCTGTCCTTGGTGCTGAAAGTCTTCACGCTTCTTTCTGTTCTGAATAGTGTCACAATCTGGTGTCTTTCATTGGTACAGAAAGTGTTCATACTTGTTCTTCCTGTTCTGAATGGTTTTACAGCCAGCTATCTGTCCTTGGTACTGAAAGTCTTTAAGGTCTCGGACCGGAGTTTTTTTTACGATTTTGGATCCGGCGGACACCCTCAGACCGAAGGGCTATAACTCCGCCAAGAAAAGTACGCCGGGAAATCTCATTACATCAGTCAACGGAGGTTTCCAGCCGGCTTCCGATACAATTTTGGTTATTGTCCGTCGACTCTATAATTTGGGTAGAAACTGTAGTTAAACGTAAATTTTGGATACGAAAAATGTAGTTTTTTTGCAGTTTTTTCCACGGACCTGCTTGGAAAAAACGAATTTTCCCAGGCTAACGGCTTATATGCTGAAATAGCTTACTATTTCCTGTTTCTGAAAAACAGAAAAAAAAAAATAGGTTGTTGCGATAAGTTTTTCGCAAAATCCGGTGACGCGAACCCCTAGAAATTCCACATAGAACGCAGCTATTTGGGTCATCAGGCG